CATGATATATTTTTTTTTTTAGTTGTATAAAATATTAATTGATTTGTCGCTCTCCTCTTTCAGAGCTGTTGCGCAGCCGTTGGAACCTGTGTGGTGGAAATCTAGCCTTCAAGCAAGGAGCCTGCGGCCACAGCGGCACAGCGTTTTTCATGTCAGAGACAGAGCGCGCTTGCAGTCGTTTATGTCATCCCCTCTTTTCCAGACAGAAGATCCCGAAAAATCCCCAACCAAGATCCTTTTATCTTACTGATAGTGCTAACACTCAGCCAAAATGTCTGTCAACGTCAACCGCAGCGTGTCAGACCAGTTCTATCGCTACAAGATGCCCCGTCTGATTGCCAAGGTGGGTTTCTGCACGTCTAATCGAGCCGACGTTTTTGTGGAAGGAACAAGTTATTTTCTCTGATGGTGGTCTTATGTCTTTCTTCATCTTCCAGGTTGAAGGCAAAGGGAATGGAATCAAGACGGTCATTGTCAACATGGTTGATGTTGCGAAGGCGCTGAACAGGCCTCCAACATGTACGTAGGACACAACCTGCACAATCATCTTGATTCTTATTCCTCCCACGTGATATTTGACCTGGGAAACGCCTGACTGTGAAAGCTGCTTTAAGCTGCTTTGAACTTTTCAAACTTTTAAAAAAAAAATTGTATAATCTTTTATATTTACTTACCACTAACCACATGAAGGAATTACTTCAAATAACTTTAAGAACATCTGGTCTCTCCCACTAAATCTAAATAGAAAAATGTTCTCTGATCGAGGCGGGATGTTGAGGGGAAAAGGTTAATGTTAAATGTAATATTAAATTGTGTCTAACTTTAAGATGGACTCTGCTAACTTGCTAAATTCCTTTCTACCAAGTCTTTAAACACATTTCTACCTTGCGATTAAACTTTTTCCACGTAGCCATTCTCGTTAGCATAAATAAAAGTTGCCTACAGTTTTATTACGTTGTGACCTCTGATATCGTGTCCGATCTTCTCCACAGACCCAACCAAGTTTTTTGGTTGTGAACTCGGTGCTCAGACCCAGTTTGATAGCAAAAACGACCGTTACATCGTCAACGGATCCCACGAGGCGAACAAGCTGCAGGACATGCTTGATGGGTTCATCAGAAAATTTGTGCTGTGTCCCGAGTGTGACAACCCTGAAACTGACCTGGTAACTTCCACCTTTGTTCTGAAGCTTTGTTCTGAAGCTCTGACCGGTTTGAATTACTTATTATTATTTTTTTCTTCACGCAGCATGTCAATCCCAAGAAACAAACCATTGGTAATTCCTGTAAGGCCTGTGGATACCGCGGCATGCTCGACACCAGACACAAGCTGTGCACCTTCATCCTCAAAAACCCACCAGGTGACGCCCCGCCCGCCTCTCCTGGGACTTCCTCCCCCGCCGGGCATTTCTCATAACGACCCCTTTGCCTCCCCCGTTACAGAGAGCACCGAAGGCGGATCAGCATCTGTAAAGAAAGAGAAAGAGAAGAAGAACCGCAAGAAGGACAAGGAGAACGGCTCCGGCAGCGGAGAGGCTGGAAGCCAAGAGAACTTTGACGCTCCCAAAGCTGTGGTGGGTTTCTAGTGTCTAGATTAGCAGCAGCTTATCATCTTGACACCAGTCGCTGACTGTTACTCACTCGGTCAGAACTTTTTAAGGCCCGTCCTGGGGCCTTCTAACAGTAATTTAAGACGAGCGTGGATCACTTTTTCTGCCTTAAAAACCTGTTTGAGAACTGGTATCTGCCCCAAAAGGCAGATTAATCAAAGCCTCAGTTGTCTTGCAAGTCTTATTTCTGAGTCTCGGCCCTTCATGTTTATTTCTTTGACACATTAGAACATCCTCACAAATGTAGATGATTAGAACACTTTCAGCTCATTATGAATCTGACCTAAATCCACCGGACGTCTCACTAATCCACATCTGCTCTGACCCCCCCAGGACGGAGACGACGATGACGAGGACTGGGCGGAGGAGACTACAGAGGAGGCGCAGAGGAGGCGAATGGAGGAGATCAGCGACCATGCCAAAAACCTCACGCTCAGTGAAGACCTGGAGAAACCTCTGGAGGAGCGGGTCAACCTCTTCTACAACTTTGTGAAGGTAACGCTGTCCATAGCTGCCCCCCCCCCCCCCCCCCACGAAGCCGTAAACTTGTACCAACATGCTGAACTTCACTGGTTTCCAGCACAAGAAGGACAGCAGGACCATCGACGCGGCGGATAAGGAGATCTTGGCGGAGGCGGAGCGGCTGGACGTGAAGGCCATGGGCCCCCTCATCCTCAGCGAGCTGCTCTTCAGCGTCAACATCCGCGACCAGATCAAGAAGTACAAGCGCCACTTCCTGCGGGTAAGCTCCACCACTGGGGACTGGTCCCAGTCTGTCTGTGGCCTTTGCTTCCAGTCTTTTAACTGAGATGCTGTTCTTGTTTTGGTCCTCAGTTCTGCCACAACAACAAGAAGGCCCAGAAGTACCTGCTGGGCGGCTTTGAGTGTGTGGTGAAGCTGCATCAGGTCCAGCTGCTGGCTCGAGTTCCCATCATCCTCAAAGACCTGTACGACGCAGACCTGCTGGAGGAGGACGTCATCTTCGCCTGGGCGGAGAAGGTGGGTGGAGATATCTCGTCTATTTTTTTAGATGTTAAATATACCAAATAGTTAAAAAGGATGGAATGTTGGAGATTTAGCAAAAAAAACATAACAAATATGAAGCAGTGAATAGAGACCTTTTCAGTTTTGTTAAACATTCGCTAAATGACTTATTGCAACTGTTAAGAATAAATGGTTTTACTTTTCTGTTAAACATGGACGTAAATATTTATCGAACATGCATTGAGAAAAGTCACTTCAATCTTCACATATAAAATGATTTGTCTGACTGTCTCGCCTAGAACTATAATTTCCCTTTGAAAGTGTAAATGTATCTAGTTTGAGTGCCTGTAATTAAATGGATCTGTTGACAGAAGGCAGGCGATTAAATCAGTTTAGTTTAGTGTAGTTTAGATTATCATTAGTTAATTAGCATTGTGTTCTGCAGGTTTCCAAGAAGTACGTCTCTAAGGAACTCGCCAAGGAGATCCACGCCAAGGCCGCTCCCTTTGTGAAATGGCTGAAAGAGGCCGAGGAGGAGAGCGGGGGCAGCGAGGAGGAGGTGGAGGAAGACGACGAGAACGTGGAGGTAACGGACTGTCTCTTTAATCCTTCTGCTCTAAATAGTATTAAAGATGGAGGTTTAGTCGACACACCTCTATATGTATGTCAAATGTGTGATGTGGAAACTTGGTAAAGAATAATCTTCAGTTCACTAAATTAACTTTTCAAATGATCAATATTGGCATCTTCATACATTCTGGATTTGTCTGACGATGAAGCTATAAATTAGTCAAAGCGGAGAAATCAAACCCTTTTGGGTGCGGCTGCCGTCTAACTGGTCCGTGGGCGGAGTATTAACGCGGTGCGTCTCCCCCTCAGGTGGTGTACTCGTCCTCCGCCCGTGAGCTCAGAGTTGAGACTGTGAAACCGGACACGCCCGAAAAGGAAGAGGATGACATCGACATCGACGCCATCTGAGCCCCGGAGGATGATGATTATGATGCTGTTCTTGTGTGGCTTCAACTCTGGCTCCCCTGTACCCTCTAACCCCCCCCCCTCCCCACACACACACACACACACACCCCTACCTTCTGCTTTGTGGCATGACTTAACATAGCGCTTTACTTGCTGCACATTAACTCTGTAATTTTGAGATGTATTTTGTTGAAATGAAGTCGCTTTGGGGATTTTAATCACGTGCTGTTTGGGGATCATTTTGACTGCACATGTTTTTTTTTTTTTTTTTTGCTCACTGTATTTTTCCGGTCAATAAAGAATGAATGTTTTGCTATCCGCTACGCTCTGTCTGTGTCACCGCTATCTGTTTCCTGTCTGCAGAAGCCGGATGAGATGAATGGACTTCTTTGTGCTGCTGAAGTCATGGAACAAACGATGAAGAGCAGCCATTTAGAAATTTCCTTTTTAGTAATTTACAAGAAATAGTAAAAGTATTATTTTGGGGGGTTAAGTAAAGCAACGTGGGACTATGTGATGGGCTCATTTCTAGAACTTGTTTTTTGTTGTATTTAAGCTGGAGACTGCAGGGGTAAATATGTGACCCAAACTGTTTTCACGAGGAGTTAATAAACCTCCCCGGAGACGTTTCCTCCCGGATGATGACGCTCCCCGCCGGTTCGCTCACTTCCTCCGCCCGTACAGCTGCACTCACCGATGCTGCGTTCGCGTGCTGTCGGAAATATAGACGCCACCGTTCGACACGATAAGGGACTTAATTTTATTAAATATGAATTCACGAATCAGAAAAAATAACACAACCTCGATGTTACGTGACTAAGTGCATAAACTCAAGTACTATATTTTAGTGTTTTAAATTTGTTCTTGTTACTTCTAACATTTTACATCAAAATTGGCATTAAAATTCAGCGAAATTGGCAATAATACACGTTGATGTTTATGATCTAAAGATACCGAAAAATGCATTCAAATGGAAGAGGTCAAGATAGTAATGTACATATTGAATAATTTGAGTTAATTTATATTTTGAATTGAAGACTTTTCCTTGTCTTGTATTTTTAGACTGGTTTTGTAAAAAAATCTTCCAGTGTTAAAAAAACAATACTACAGTCTATACTGCTAAACGTTCTGCATTCAAACTTCTTTAGCTTGGTATATTAGATGCAATGGAACTATTAATCCCGAGGGAAATTATTACACCGGAGATAAATCAAAAATACATTTTAAAAAAGGCATGAAAAAAAGAAAAGTAAGATAGAAACAAGAACCATAAATGTGCAGTAAAAGACACAAAGTGAAGAATACGCGTACTCCCCCCCCCCCCCCCCCCACCATTGTTGACGACGAAAAGTTGGTTGTTCTGCTGCTCATGACAACACTTTGACGTCGGAGCCTGGCAGCGGTCCCTGAACGCAGCCTAATCCAGCCCAGCCGCTGAGTAGCCATTTTGGTCCCACCTAAAACAGACGGAGCAGCTCCACTTTGGGTCGTCGGAGATGGAAGAAATCCGACTCGACGGCGAGTATTTCAGCCACCAAAACCTTGTGAATCCCTCCAGGAAACACCGGGCGGTGACACTCGACGCCATGGCTACTCTTTAAACTGTTTTTTGGTGCAAAGAATAAAACCTTTGGGGACTGATTCTGTTTTTTTTTAAAGTGGCGACCAGCGGCGTCTTAACGTTACTTTAGTTAGCTTCACTTGACACGGGCACTGATTCGAGTTTTACACCTGGGCCCGAGAGGACGCGTCATGTGAGTAAAGCGAACCTCGGAGCGTTTTTTAATTATTTTTTTTTTAGTGAAGGATTTGTTTTCATTCCGGTCCCCTGCAGTTCAGGTGCTCGTCTCTAACACGTCCGGTTTGGTTTCGAAAATTGTCACGATCCATGCGGAGACCGCTTCCCCCCGGAGAGCCCCGCTGCACCGCAACGCCATAAGCTGCGGGCTTCCTTCCGCTCACCGGGCTGAGCGAAGTGCCGGATCCTTTCCTTCGGTGGGTGGCGGGAGTCCTCAGACGGCCACTGGTGGGATTAAGGACAAATAAAAGAGATGTCAACAAAAACTCCTCTGCCAACGGTCAACGAGAAGGTGACGGAGAGTGTGAGTATGAAGGTTGTTTCTTGGGCATTTCTGCTCGTTTAAATTAAAAGCTTCTAGAAGGAGGAGGATATTGTGCTACAATATCTGCCTATTAGTTTTCTTAATTTGACTGTTCGCTAGTTGTTTCGCACGTTGTCACCAAATCGTAAACAAACATCCTGTGTGTCCAACAAGCTGTTTAATTTCACTCCGTGCTGTGATTCATTTACACGCAAATCCTATTTTTGAATAAGTTAAAACTGGTAGTTATGAGGTAGTTGGGATATTTAGCAAACTACAGTACTTTGCCTGCTGATTCTGGCAGGCAACAGTCGTCCCCGTGCGGGCTCCTTATTGGCTCTGCCAGCTGTCACTCAAAGGTTGCAACCGCTCAGCGTCCCTCATTGGTTCCGCCTCCTCCCGACCAGGGAATAACTCCGGTCCGAAAACTGCGTTGTCAAGGTAGCGACCCAGTAGCATCCGGTCCGGACCTTTCAGTTTAAAACTAACAACGAGTTTGTGATGAAGGCAGCAAGGCGCTGTTTTAATAATTGAACAAGTTATGTTATTTTCTAGTGTTTTAAAAATGCAATAATGCAATTGTGAGAAAACAATTACATAAACGAAACTTCAAGCTGAAAAACTAAATTATTTATTTTGGTTAAAAAAACATTACGCCTGAAACTTTAATTTAAATTTGTTTGGTCATCAGTTTTTTAAAATTGAGGGTTCTATTTTTAAATGGCTGTTTTCCTGACGAATTGGCTAGAAAAAACAGAAATGAAATCATCAAATACAAAATCTACCATTTCTTTCTACTGTTGCTTCATGCTGAGATCGAAAGTTACTTTTTTTGAGCACTCCTCTCCTGTTTGGCATAAATTCAGCGAGTTTTAAAGATTCCAACAGATCTTTGTAATGTGTCAAATCATCAGGATCTCACCAGTCATCACGGCCACAGCAGAGAGTCACCTGGAGATAACACGCGTCCACCACAAACAGCACGTGGGGACCTTCTATTGATCCCTGGAGAGACATTTAGTAACTGCAAAATGTGGAAACTTTATATTAAGTTAACTTGTATAAAATCTCTCTTCCAACAGACAGACAAAACATTACAAATTAAGACATAAGTCCATGTGTCAACAGAAGCTACTAAATAATCACAAATGGTGTATTATATAATATTATTATTATTCTGGACAGACTGAAAGGCATCAAGTCTTGACTAAATTGTTACGCGTTGTTGCAAGAACAAGACATTTGCAGACTGAGGTGATGCTTAACTGTTAAGTCAATAATGCAGATAATCTTTAGTTGCATTTTATTGAGCTGGCAATGTTTGCATGACCTCGTACACGAGCAGAACTGTCAGTCAGAGGAAAAGCACATCAAACACTCTTCATAGTCTGTGAGGCGGCATACTGAGAATGAGGTGAGGTTCCAGCTGCGCAGTATGAGGATGGTTCCCACATTGGCAGAAAAAGACCGGCGCTTATTGGACAAAACCAACGGCCTCACAATGCATCGCGGCCCTTCAGACTGTCCAATGCCGGAGGCCAAAATAATTTGAAATGATGAAAGATGGCGATCAATGTGACGTTAGTCAAGCTGAAAAGAGGTATTCTCACCTTTTACTTTGGTAAAATATTTGTACAACATAGCAGAAAATACTCTTCTTTGTATCCAAATATAAGTGGAAGTACTCATCCCGCAGAATGGCTCCATTTAATGAGTAATAATGAACCTGTTATGGGAGTGTGCCCATGAATGATCATGTGACCTTAACTTTGCTGCTGGTAGAGGTTGATCACTCTTTTGCATTAGACCTGCTGGTACGATGTAGTCTGAGCACAGGCTCCCTGGGCTTTTACTCTGAAAGGACACGGCCCCTGTGTCTGGTTTCGGCGTGTCCGCCCCTTAGCTGGCTTGACAGGGATCAGTAACCCCCCCCCCCTGTGGTGGTCTGCGCTGGGACCCGGGTGGTGTAGTGTGGATCTCTGGACATCATCGGTAGGAACATGACGGGCTCCCGGGCGGCCAGGAGACACCGCAGCCTCGTGAGTAGCCCCCCCCCCCCCCCCCCCAAATGAGAAAGTTCCCCCGGAAAATCCTCGCCTCTCAGAGAAAAAATTGTTATTCCCGGAGGCTAAGCAGATATTTTCGGGGCGTCTTTTGTTATTTAGCAAATAAAGTTTTCCAGAGGAAAAAACCCCCCAAGCCTTTTCTTTTTTTCTTCTTCCTGTCTGAGGTTTTCAACAGTGACCTTCTCCTATTTATACCTCCTGCCATCGCTGTAGGAGGCCGGAAATATTCCTTCAGTGACTTCTAGTGCGCGCAGACTTTAGTGGGACTTATTGTGGTTTTAAAGACGGAGGGTTTCGGGGCCCGTGGCGTCCTCACAGACTTCACAGGTTTCTTCCTTTTGTTTGCGTGTAAACTCTTGTTGTTGCTCTTTGGGCCGATGGGGTCGGCTAACGAGGCGTCAGCGGTCGATACCGGGCCGCACCGAGTATCGATCCGATCTATTTATACTTGCTGTCAACACACGGACACCCCCTCCCAAAAAAACAAATCAATGGGCAACGGCAGACTGGGGGAGTGGATCTTTTGATTGTAGTTAAGATAAAAGACCAGAATTCATTGGGTGTTACTCAACAGTTTGTCCCCCTGGATGTGTGTTTCTGTGAATAATCGTAATATGAATAAAGCCTCTAGCGGAGGCGCAGCGAGGATATTATGATGCGTGCGCGTTGTTTCCCGGCGGTCTGCTGACGCAATGAACTCTGGCCGTTCACCAACTCCGTTAATTGTTCTGTGTTAATGAGAACATTGGTGTCGTAACCAGGCTGCTCTTATGGATTGACCCGCTTATTTTATTACACAGTTCAAATCTTTATTTCCGCATTCAGCAGCTTGCCAGGGGGTTTTTATTTTAATATCACTCTTCAAACATCTGCTTTGAAGGACCAAAAGACTTTGATTTATAAACAGCAGTTGTACAATTTTTAAATATTCAACCAAAAAAGAAGAAAACATGTTTTTGTGGTCGTTAATACGATAAAATGAGGCACAAAAGTCAAATTAATTTCTTTCATCTGCTCTTCGACTTGCTGACATTTGAGTTGTTGTTTGCTGGTGAGCCAACGTGATGCTGATGGGGGGGGGACGTTGTCGGGGGTCGAAGGCTCCTCGTGGAAACATTTAAATCCTCCATAAGCATCATCACATGTTCCTAAATGAATTATCTTTATTGGGACTTTTGACGTCATACAAATTACACCAGTTTTGTTCCCACAGGAAACGTTTTTCGTCTTTCTTTTCTGTTTCCAAAAACAAACGAAAGGATGTAAAGCGTAATAACGCGGCGCCCCCCTCTCCCCTCGCAGCACACCTCTCACAGCAATGGGCGCCAGGAGGTCAGCGTGCGCTCGGCCCGGACCGGCGTCCGATCCCGCGGCTCCGAGGAGCCGCAGCAGCCACACGTGGGGAAACTACCGGGCTGCTCAAAACCATCGGCAAGGGCAACTTCGCCAAGGTGAAGCTGGCCCGACACATCCTGACCGGCAGAGAGGTGAGGCGGACGCTCTGCACAGATTGCACATCTGGGGGGGGGGGGCGGGCGTTTATGCGTCCGCTCACTTCTCCTCGAATCGAGATGAGATGAAATGGGACGGAATCGATTTCTGTGTTTCGTGTCCCACCTCCTTCCTCCTGCTACGTCCTGTTCAACTCTGTGTCACTTGTTTTTCTCTCCACAGGTGGCGATTAAGATAATCGACAAGACGCAGCTGAACCCAAACAGCCTTCAGAAGGTAACTAACACTCCCCCTCCTCCCCCCCTCTCGCTCTCTGAGGCAGAATCGGTTTATGAATTGAACATGAAGCACAACAGATTGGGCATTAATTGTGTAAAGGGGAAGCGGTGCATGCTGGGACGCAGCCTGTGTGCTTTTTCTGATTTCATCATGGTTTATGATTTATCTCAACGTGTGTTTCATGTTTGTTCTTCAGCCAAAGAAGGAAATATTGGCAACTTTGAGAGTTTTTTTCTGCTGAGCGTCTGTGGTTGAGTTTTGTTCTGGTCATTTGTCTCCCGGAGACTGTCCACCTCCTTGTCCTCATTGGGTCGTCGTGGAGCGACGCTTTAGTCTCCGTTAAATCGACCAAATGCACATTCCTGTTTGAGAAAACTTCTTTGGAAGCGGTTTCACGTCTGAGAACTGCCCTCCGAGCGATGTCGCCCCCCCCGTCAGACGGGAGGGGGCGGGGCTTAGCGTGGCGGTTTTCCATCAGTGTTTCCGAAGCCGCATTGATTGCGTCCTTTGTGGCTCGGAGGCCCTTTGGCGCTCGGCCACGTGACACGGCGGCCACAGAAAAACACTGAGTCATGACGCCGCCGCACGGACACACAAAGCCAGCGGCTCTTTGTCTTCGCCCCCCGAGGCTGTTTTTTATTTTTGGGTTCCTGCTTGAACGTCGAACGAATTTGTCCTTTTTTTTTTTTCTTTTGCAGGGAGAATCTTCTGGGATTTAAATGTCCTTTTATTATTTATTTCAAGCAGCTGGAGAACAGAAACCAGTGCTTTTTAAAGGTGTTGCTAGTCATAGTTCGGCTTTTCTCCTGGTTGGGTGGTGCGGGTGAAGGAAACCCTGACGTGGGTCAGAGTCACGGCTCCTTTGAGGGGATGAAGCTTAATTACTGCAGATTGGCAGATGTCTTTTGTGTTAGAGGAATATTGCAGCGCTTGTGTGACGTCCACGGATGAGAGAACAAGATCCATGTGAAGACAACTAGAAGTTAGCTTAGCATTTAGCCCGAGGACGCGTCTGCTCCTGGACGATCAATCATACAAACATTGATTATTGATCCGTCGAGGTGTTGCTCTGGCGTCGGTCAGATGTGGCGTGTTCTTCGTATCCTTCGCCGTGACCTCTTATGTAACGGAGCGATCTCGTCTCTGAAGCCCCAATGTTTATTTTCGGCCTCTTGTTAATAGTTTGGAGGAGTCGACGTTCACATCTGTCGCTCTGAGCTCCCACTCTGCTCCTTCTGCCCTCTTTGGACCTGCTGACAGGCTTGTTGTCTCTCGGGGTTAAAGGTCAGCGAGGAGGAGGAGGGGGGGGACTCAGGTCGTGATTAAATGTAAACACACTTTTCTTTCTGTGGCTGCAGAGACGTATTAGTAGTTAACTATTAGTATGAATTGATTCGTACAGTACGTCTTACTATACATTTCTGTCCTTCCTTTCAAATTTAGCTCAAGATTTTAACTCCGTTTGCCTTTTTATAAATGTCCAATAATTAAAAAAATAAAGCATTTTTATTGTCTTCATAATTAATCTCAAATCCATTCTACACAAAAATATCTATAAATCTAAAATATTTCATTCCTATGAGTTTAGACTCAATTTCTGAGAAGCTTTTACCTTTTTAAAGGGTTTCTAATCGATTATCAATCGGTCAGCATTTTGATTCCTAAAGATTTACAGCTTCATACTCTATTAAAGTTTCACAAAGACTCTAATCTTTTATATTTGAGTAAAACCAACCCGTTTTTCAGCGTTTTGTGCCAATGTAAACAATAACATGTGTAAACAATAACATGAAACCAAATGGGAGCAGAAGTATTCTTGCTCCTTTTCAACGCACTGGATATTTAGCATAAAATGCTAAAAGTAAAAGCTTTCCAAAGATGTTGCGTTCAAGAAGAACGGAGGAACAAACGCAAGTATTGAAAAGACTGATCGATTGATTGATTGATTGATGGATCAGTGGAACGTTTTCTAATCAAAATAAACATTTTGAGGAATGTTTATGTTCTGTTTTTCCGGCTCGATTTGTTCGTCGGTAAGAAAACACTTTGGAAGCTCGTGAAACACGGATGAAGCCTTTTTCATGGACGGGAGGAGGGCCGATCAATAATACAAAGCCCTCTGCTTCTTTAACTCAAAGGAAACGGTGAACTGCCCTTTAAAAGATGAGCGCTGTGATCCGAGTGCACATTTATTATGCTCTGTGCCAGATGAATAAGTGAGCGCGTCCTGCTGTGCAACTCACGCTTCTTGTTAAAGCAAGAATGGAAGATGTACAATTAACGTGTTTGTTCGTCTGAGCAGGATTCACAACAACGGATTCCTTAGTGCAAAATGATTTGAACCGTTTTTCTGCAGTGTTTAGGTGATCTGCAGGACGCGCGCTAGTTAGCATTAGCTGCTAGCTGATTGACATTACGATGCGTAGCTCTAGTCGGTATTGAGTATTGGCGGGGTGATTCTGTTGTTGAGGTGATGGTCACAAATGTCCCTGTTGTTGTTGATGATGATAATAATACCGATAATATTAATAATATCTTATTATAGGGAACTATAATCTTTTCTCCTTTTCATTTCAGCTCTTTCGAGAAGTCCGTATCATGAAGATATTGAACCACCCAAATATCGGTAAGTCATGAGCTTCGAGACTTGTGGTGAGATTTCCTCACGTGTGCTTTTGTAAATGTCTCAAAGTGAAGATCAATCGAGCCTTGAAGTCAGCGTCTCTGCTTAAAGGCCTCCTGACCTTTGACCTCTGTTTACTGGGCAGCACATGATCCTGCAGCACAACTTGTTTTAAACTTGCAGTCTCAGCTTTTAAGTTCCTTTTTTTTTTAGTTTTGGTTCCCTCGAGACTTCTTTAAAATCACACAATCGTGGTGAATGTGAACGTTTGTTTAAGGCAACGACCCAAAATGAGTTTGAGCTCTTACGCACTAAAGAGACTGAAGAGAGACTTGCTCACATACCAGAAGGGCCTTTGTCTCTTTATCTATTATCAATTGTTTACTCTCGTTCCCTTGTTCACTTACTTGACTGTCAGTTCTCCATTTAACAAAATAAATGCCCAAACATGATTGAAATACAGCATAAGCTTGTTGGTCAAATCTGTAACAAAGAAAAGCAGCAAATGTCCACATTCAAGAATCTTCATCCAGCAAAAATCCGGCTTCTCTTCCCTTTAAGAACAAGCGCAGTGATTCATTGATAATTGGAGGCTTTTGTTCAACGTGTTAGAAGAACAAACACTCTCAGCAGACCAACCTGTCGGGTGTGTTTTTGGTAACGAGGATTACTTTTAACTTCCTTTCCCCGGCGCTCTGCGGACGAGTGATGATTCCCACCAAACCTCCATCTTCTCCATCCTCGCCTCCATCCCACCTCGGCTATATTTAGCCGCTCATCGCTCTTTTTATATCTCTGAGTTCGCACACACTCTGCAGCTTTTAGGCCGTGCAGTAAACATGCTGCTGGATGCTGAGCTCACGTGTTACACACACACACACACACACACACACACACCAACCACAGGTAATCGTCCCTTGAACAATTTGCAACTCCTTTGCTGTTTAGTTTTGCTGCTCTACTTTCTCTTTGTGCCCATTTAGGAAAATGACTCCACCATCTCTGACAGAACCGCCTGCACCTTTTAACATAATTGTATTAATAATCCCCCCCCCCCCCCCCCTCCTGTCTCTAGTCAAGCTCTTCGAGGTGATCGAGACTGAGCGGACGCTCTACCTGGTGATGGAGTACGCGAGCGGAGGTGAGGCACAAATAAAGCTGTGAACTGCAGAGCTGCGTTGCGCCCCCAGAGACCCGCGTATGATTTATTAACGGCAGAATGTGAGGCATGCGTTAATGATTGACGCGCTGCGTGTAGAGGACACGTGGAGAAGGAAACTGAGGGATTCTTTAAGGGTCCGTTGTGTCCTTATGTTCTACGCACACACTCCTAAACACAAACTCCCAACGTAAAGATCAGCAAATGGACCTTCTGAAGGCTTGAGCGCTGCAGCCGGGAGGTCGGCGCAGGAGAAGCGATGGAGACGAACGTCGCCGTGAAGGTGAACCAGCGCCTCCGCTGACTCATAATCATAAATATCAAACGTGAGGGAAACATTTCCAGCAGAAGCTTCAGCGGTGAGCAGAAAAACAGTGACTCAGTGCGGCGGCAGCTGTCTGACAGCCCGTCCTTCTTATTCCTCGTGAAAGCTCCTCGTAAATTGTCCTTTTCGATGCGGCGCCACACAGGAGAAGTCGTGTCATCGGTCACGACGAGACGAAAAGGGCGTGCTCGCCGGCGAGCCAATCGCATTACCTCTGAGACGTCTGCTTAAACAAACCCAATATGTCTCCGAGTTCTGATTCTGTAGAATCGCAAGGTGACCTTTTCGACCACGTGATCTCTGGAGCGCTCCAGGAATCCGTGGAACACAAACGCTCCAGCTGGTCGGCGACTGTAAAGTCCGTCACAGAAAGAACCGCCTTCGTCTCTTCTGGATCCGCCCACAAACGATAAACCCACCAAACCGGGTTCTTAATCTGGTGATTTCTAGAGAATCGTGGTTTAATTTGATTCTTTTAAATGCGAAATCCGTTTGTGTCAGTGCCACGGCGTCCTGATGAAGCAGTAAACGTTGGCCGCGCTCGTGCTCGCCATGTTGCCGTGCAGATGTTTTTCTGCATCGTCGGTCGCCTGTGGTAGCGGCTCAGAGGCTAAATGCAGCTCGAGAGGTTTCCTCTGCGTTATTAAATTATTAAGGAACCGGTTTCCATCTCCTCACGTGTTTCTGCGTTCCAGCTCTGTTCCCTAATCTCGTCCCCGTGCGCGGCGCACGCCGTGCCCTTTTCGGCTCCGGCGTGCTAAGTGTTAGCTGCCGCGCTCCGTCTGAGGGTGAGTCAGAGCCGTGAAGAACGGAGACGCACGCTCAGCCTCTGCAGGTCAGCGCCAGCGAGTGGGAGGCCTGCGAGGACGAGAAAAGTGGCCCTTTTTTCCGTTGCTTGTTTAGTTCCTGTTTCTGCCTCAACACACACACACACACACACACGTGCACAGCAGCCGCTCGAGGCGCGCAGTCTTAGTCACGTTTTGGCTGGGAGTGAGCAGGAGCGTGGGTCGAGGGGCTGCTGGGGGGGGGGGGCAGCAGCTTTGTGCTTGGCGTGGAGGCGGCGGCGGCACCGAGCTCGAAGCGGGCCGGCTGCTCCCGGGAGAAGTTATTCTCATCTGCGTGTCCTCAGAAGTTGTGAATTCACTTGTTTCCTTTTTGTCTGCGACTTCTCACTCGTTGCTCCTTTGTCCCTTTTGTCTCTGCAGGGGAGGTGTTTGACTACCTGGTCGCACATGGACGAATGAAGGAGAAAGAGGCCAGGTCTAAATTTAGACAGGTACCCGGCTTTCTCCCCCCGCAGCGCTCTGCTTTCACCCGCCCTCCCCTCCGTGAATGTTTGTCAGTTACAGTCTGTTGGTCCCATTGTTGTGAGTGCATTTATCACTCCGTGAACATTGATCAGTACACGATGTTCATTTAGTAAATGATGTTTCATTTAGTCAAATAGACCATAAAGCCGGGGTGCTTTGGGGCGGGGCTTACTGTGTCGTTTCCATGGTTTTTGTCTTAGAACTTTGACCTTCTCTGAGTGTGTTTTGACTTGCATTTTAATCATCTAAACGGCGGATGTGACAGGACGTCTCTCCCTCCCGGTGTCTTCAGCTGCGTTTGATCGTTCCTGTCTGCGTCGACCGCACCACCTCCCCCTCCCCCGCCTCCTCCTTCCACCACATCCTTTATCGCCGCCCGAGAACACAACAGCAGACGTTCAACTAAACTCCGGCTCGTCTTTTTGTCCTCCTGCAGATCGTATCGGCGGTGCAGTACTGCCACCAGAAGCACATCGTTCACAGAGACCTCAAGGTGACACACGAGCTCAACATCAGTTAAATTACATCCGAGCTGCAGAAACACGGCGCTTTGCCTGATTGCGCTGAGAGTAAGCCGGCTGTTGGGGCGTAAGCTATGAGGAGTTTATGTGTCTCCACCTCGTGACGCTCGTCGTCGCAGGTTTGACCCACAGTCCTTCAGGCGTCAGCGGCGGAGATTAAAGGCGAGCGCTGTTTACCCCTCATGGTTCAGTCCTCCAGCTCAGCGGAAAATTGTTTTCTTCTCTTCTTCAGCTTCCTAATTAGTCTCTGGCCCACAGCTGCATGTCGGCAGATGTTTGGACTTTTAAGTCCTCGCCTACTTTTTTGGACTCTTTCGTTGCACGCGAACCGCACACGAAGAGCATAAATGATCAGTTGATTTATCAAACAACAGATTATTAACATCCAAAACACACTGGAAAAGTTGTAATTTGGCTTTTTCTATTTATCGTAAATCAAATGTCGTCTTTTGGTTTGGGAAATTGTCGACTTATTAACTAAATTATCATGCAAAATAAAAAAGATCTTGAATAGAATAGTTAGTAAAACCTTAAAGAAGCTGTGAGGTGAAAATGCTCGTAACCGTTGTCCCCAGGCGGAGAACCTGCTCCTCGACGCCGACATGAACATCAAGATCGCCGACTTCGGCTTCAGCAACGAGTTCACGATGGGCAACAAGCTGGACACGTTCTGCGGGTCGCCGCCCTACGCCGCGCCCGAGCTCTTCCAGGGGAAGAAGTACGACGGGCCCGAGGTGGACGTGTGGAGCCTCGGGGTCATCCTGTACACGCTGGTCAGCGGCTCGCTGCCCTTCGACGGCCAGAACCTGAAGGTGGGGCCGAGACGCATCACCAGTTAGAGGGGTTAGCTTGTGGTACCTGGAGATGTCTTTGCACACGTCACAGGAGATGATCTGATGCTCATTGAGGCTCCTGTTGCACGTTTGAGCGTCTCTGCTAACGTCTCCCTGCAGGAGCTGCGTGAGCGCGTGCTGCGCGGGAAGTACCGCATCCCCTTCTACATGTCCACGGACTGCGAGAACCTCCTCAAACGCTTCCTGGTGCTCAACCCGTCCAAGCGGGGGACGCTCGAGGTGAGGGAGGACGCAGAAAATGTAAATATACCTCTCAGTTCTTATCTCACCCCCCCCACCACCACCACCACCACCAGTGGAGAATGTCATCCACCCTCCTCCTCCTGCATCTTCTCCTCTGACGCCCACGCTGGCCTGTGTTGTTGTTTCTTCTCCTCTCCCGGCCCACGCTCTCCTCTCTGATGTCGTAACCATGAATAACACGCCGCCGCTCTCGTTCCAAAATAGTCTTTTGTTCGCTTCCCCGCCTTCGTCTTCGAGTCGATGGTTCCTCGCAGCGGTCGGGGCGGCGCGTGAAACCGGCTCGCTCGGGTCACAATGAAGTAGATTTGAGTTAAAAGCATGAACCACTTTAGCCGGCCGGTTACCGTAGAAACGGACGGTTCGATTCCGGCTGTGAGAGCGGCACAAGTTCATCATAGAATTTCATTTTTTGTGTTTCGAGCTGAGATTAAAACGCTTGCGTTGGATGCGTTGGATGTGCGGGAGGATGAGGAGGGACGCTGAGACCTTCTCTGTAAACGTCCTTTATTAGTTGCTTGATGCCAGAAGCTGTTGTCACATCAAAGCCTGAGCGGCCATGATTAGTTTGGCTGTGACCTTTTTATAACCCCCCCCCCCATCCGACTCCCCAGAGAGCGATTGATCAGCTGCAAATTCAAAATAAAAAAGCCGGACGAATGAGATGAGGATAATTATCCATTTCATGATGATAAACATGTTTAAAGAGTCAGAGTAAAAATGTACTTCACCAAAATATTCCTGTTTAATCTCTTTAGATAGGAATCGGTCTCGTAGTCCGTCTGAAAGTTACTTATAAATAACATTTTGCCACTTTAATGCAACATAATGAGACTTAAAATCGAAATAACATTTTACAGCTTAAATCCAATAAACTAAGGGAACTAAATGTAAACGTGTGATTCTGAAACATAAAGTCATCAGTCGGCTTCTAACGGTTTGACTTTTTGCAGCAAATCATGAAGGATCGATGGATCAACGCCGGCTTTGAAGAAGACGAGCTGAAGCCGTACATCGAGCCGGAGCTGGACATCACGGATCAGAAGAGAATCGGTAAAAAGCTTCATCACGGAACTGTTAACGCTCCTCCACACAAAGCTGCTCTCCTTCTCCCAGAGAAGATGAAACGGGATGATGAATAAATAAACAGGAGCCGTGCTGCTGCCTGCAGAGAGACGGGGGGGGGGGGCTCTTATGTAACGGCCTCATGAGGTGTCGTTCTATATTTCATGTAAACGTGGCGTTGGTGATCCCACGTCAGTGTCTTATTGAACGCGCTGTAATACGTGCATGGATGGATTTTCCTCTCTCACAATAGAAGGACGAGACGGTGAAACGTCGCCGTCGGTTCATCGATCTAGGAATTTATTTTATTCTGAAAGTCCTCTTCTTCCGATCCACCAAAGCAAAATATTGCTTCATTATTTGTCCCGTGACGGTAAACTGCATCCGACACATTGGAAAACTTTCATTTGAATTCTTTTTGATCGGCTGCTTTTTGCTTCACATTTCCAGACGGAATCATTAAATCAAGGCCGGATTAATCAAATTAATTAAAGGGAATCGATCACTTTGCTGAGTCCTGACGGGCATTGTGAGAAGGTTCTTTTATCAGTTCAATCAGATGCGTCTGGCGGGAGGATTTAATCCCACTGAATTCACAATCTGAGGAGGTGGAGGAGGTGGTCAGCTGGGCTCAGCGGAGACGTGTGGAAGTTTCTTTTTCTAACAATGTTTTTACAGCCTCCGGCGATTCCTTTTGGAGGAAATCTGCTTTTCCATCTGGCAGGTTGGAGGAGCTGCTCTTCTTTCCGGCTGCAGGAACAGATTTCTCGTTAGATCTATGAAGAAATTTAAAAATAGGCTGAATAAATCCGACCTGCCCGTGACTCATCTGAGCATCCTTAGCCTCCACGTGCTCCGACACGCTGCAGATGGAGTACGTCTTTTAACAGATTAATGCCAAGTGTTGAGATGAACGGCCAGAAGCCTTCGTGTTATGTCATCGCTCACACACACACACACACCGAGCTGCAGCAGGAGGCTCGGCTAGCGTGCGGCTACAAACGTGACCTGGAGGATGGGAGGGAGTGTGTGTGTTTATCTCCCACCACGGACCCTTCCTGCTGTTGATAATCTGTGTTCATTAAGATGTTGCTGTTGTTCGCTGTGTGCAGATGTGATGGTCGGGATGGGCTACAACCTGGAGGAGATCCAGGAGTCTTTGGCCAAGATGAAGTATGACGAGATCACAGCCTCCTACCTGCTGCTGGGCCGCAAGGCCTCCGAGGTACCAACAATAGTACTATACACATAGTACTATCTGCAGTAGAATAAACCTGGAATCAAGTCTTCGTATAAATCATAAAACAAATTACAATAAAATAATGTAACCGTAACAAAGGAAACCATTTAAATAAGAAAACCGTATAAATACAGATTATCATCATTTAAAGGCGGCTCTGATATTACTTAATATACCGATGGCCAGTTTACATAATTTAAAGTTTAAATCAATAATCTGGAAAGTAGCTCAGTGCTTGTTTCTCATTCGGGTCCTGGTGTCCTTCCCTCCGTCCGGCAGATGGAGCCCAGCGAGTCGGCCTCCAGCAGCAACTTGTCTCTGGCCAAAGCGCGGCCGAGCAGCGAGCTCAACGGACAGTCGCCCTCCCACCTCAAGGTGCAACGCAGCGTCTCCTCCAACCACAAGCAGAGGCGCTACAGCGAGCAGGGTGAGCGGCCAGCGGGGGGAAGAGGTCCTTCTGTGACTTCTGCCGCTTTAATGGTTATTTTGCCAGACGTACAAAGGGCGGCTTTGACTCACCGTCCGTCTCCCCCCCCCGGCAGTCGGTCAGAACGTCCCTCCTGGGATGTCCCACCCAAAGAGGAGTCCGACCACCACAGCGGAGAACAGCGCCAAGGAGGAAGGCGGAGTCCAAATGCGTAAACCCAGCGCTCCGCCCGCCTCCCCCCTGCTGGGCAACGCCAACAACCCCAACAAGGCCGACATCCCCGACCGCAGGAAAGGCGCCACCACCGGGCCGAGCGTGAGTCGCTGGACGGACGTCTCGTTAGGGACATTAAAGACGATTAGTTTGATCTGATTCAAACAATTTATGCATTCTGTACAAATATATATATATATATATATATATATTTCGTCATAATCCAGAAAGCACAGATTTTGATTTGTGTTTTTATTTGTTTTAAGGTTTCCTTGTTTGAACCTCGTTAATTCTTTGATATTTGTGAATTTTTCCTGCTTGTTTCTATTATTCCTTCTACAAACATTCGTTGGCATTTAGCGGATCCTTGACACGCGATGAGTGAATGTGTGAATCTGTCTGCAGAGCAACGCGGCGGCGGCGGCGGCGATGACCCGGAGGAACACGTACGTCTGCAGCGACCGGAACAATGGCGACCGGCTGTCCGTCATCCCCAACGGGAAGGAGAACAGGTGAGACCTTTCACCTCAGGGCTATTTCACAGGCGCTCTGTGGTTTAAAGCTGAATGTGGTCCGATTCGACGCTGACTGCTTCTCAACTCGTGCCGGGTTTTTGTTTTGTTTTTCGTCCTTTTTTTATTTTGGATTCTTTCTTCTTTCTGTCCACTCACCCTCTTTGTTCATTTTTCTCATTTCTACCTGTGTGTTTGTGGTTTCGGGGGTCGCGGATGCTTTATTTTTCCTTCTCACCGTGGCATGAGCAGCATGACTGAGATGGCGTGTGCCACTAGCCCCTCCTCCGGCTTTGCGGGCGCTGCGTTCGGTGCCTCGTCCGGTTCGGTGCGGCTGAGGTACCAGAACGCCGGCCCGGCGGGCTGGGCCACGCTGCCCCACTCCTACTACGCCCTGGACTACTGCTCGCCCAAGTAAGACGACAGGGCCTCCCAGCACCTCCCTGTCTGTGTCTCATGTCCGGCCCCTCGCTCACCCCACACATCCCGCCGGCTTCACGCTCTTTAACCCCGCGGCTAAACCACGGCAACCGTTTCTCGCTGGAGGGGAAGCAAAAGGCGGCGGTTATCTTGGTGGTCAGTGTCTGAAATCGATGCTCGCCGGCCCCCCGGAGCGGGCAGGAGGGGGGCTGCAGTACCAGCAGCAGCTTTGTGAATCACATTTTCTCTCAATCAAGACATTTAAGACGTCGTGGAGCAGCAATGCATCCTGGGAGTTGTCTTCCTTGCAGTCGACTTCTCCTGTTTGTGATTCGCTCGCGTTTCAGTCCAGAAGGAAATGAGCTAATAATAATCTTTGAATTAACCGGATTTCAACTGGCTTCTAACTTAGGAGGAAGTAGAACTAGAAGGAATGTGAAATGAATCGGATGAACTTTAGTGACCTTTGCTAAAAACAAGTGACGAGGTGGGTGTTGCTTTCAGACACTGAACAAGGTGCAAGAAGAGAAAAATATGAATCCTCACTGATGATATTTTTCGCTGTTTGAACTGGAGACGATAACGAGCTCTGCCCCCCCCCCCGCCCCCTGCCCCTCCCTCTCTGACCGCCACCCGACTCTTTCACTCCGGGTCGCGGCTCAAATCAGCAGCTCGATGCTCAGGGTGGGAAATGAACGCGGACAGAAGGCTCCTGTTTTGTCGCCCACACGGACCCGTGTGCTTTCTGTAATTTGTGTTCCGGTGTTCGTCCTGTATGAAGGGGGCGCTTTGCCGGTTAATTATTAAAGTAGGAATAAATACGCTTCTTCTCCTCTGACCTCCATTACAGGTCTGAGTGGAGGAACAGCTGTTAGATATTCGGATCTCATCGGTTCAGTGTGTTTGGTTCATAAAAGTTTTATCTCCCACACTGAAAACGAGTCTTAATCCACGAGCTACTGCATTTGCACGGTTTCAGTTTTTACTTAATTTCCCACCCTGACGTAATCTGACCTGCAGGAATCATTCATTTAATCGCCATGGCAACAGTATTAATCCACGCAGGAGTTTTAAAAGATAAGGAGAGAAAAGTGGTCAGTTGAGTCTTTTACGTTGCAGTTAAACGCTTGCAGTGCAAACAGTGCGGGGGGGACCTTTGACCTTTGACCTTCACTGTGCTCCTGTAACGTCAGTAGAAGATTAGTTTGCTTCTTCACGCTGATCCACGCTAACCAATAAGACAAGTGACCGCCAGTGAGGTCTGCAGTGGAAAACACGCGTGTTCAAACTCTGCCCCCTCCCCCTTTCCCCCGAGCAGCGTCGCAGCGTCGCCCGGCGGGCAGAGGAACCCGGTGGCGTCGATCAACAGCATCGCCAACGCCTCCACCCCCGACCGCCTGCGCTTCCCGCGCGGCACCGCCAGCCGCAGCACCTTCCACGGCGGCCAGCTGAGGGACCGCCGCACGGCCACCTACAACGGGCCCCCCGCCTCGCCCACGCTGTCCCACGACGCCACGCCCCTCTCCCAGACCCGCAGCCGTGGAACCAGCAACCTCTTCTCCAAGCTCACCTCCAAGCTCACCCGCAGGTAGGCGAGGGGGGGGGGTGGGGGCTCACGCCAGTCGGGGGGAGGGGTTAGCTCTCCCGTCCCGCTCGCGCCGCGGTGTTTTATTTCTATTTTGATTCCTGTATGAAGTGATTTGTTTAATCTGTGAGTTCAGAGAGCGCCTCCATCGGACCTCCTGAGCACATCTGGCACATCTGGTCCTTTTAAATCGCGCCTGCGGATCATTTTCTTGCGTAATAGTTGCAAAGAGATTCACGTACTTTGAAGCGTTGAGGTGCGAGACGCCGAAATCACACCGACCACTTCGCTGGTAAAAATAACTTCAGCGCATAAATCCTCGCGTGATGATCTGAAGGTGTCGACTTGTTGGTGAGACGGAACGTTACAAGATACTGAAGCACTTGAGCTTCAGAGAAATGTACTCACTACAAATCTGCATTAATATCATAATCTGCTTCCAGAAGTTAAAGTATGTTTAGAATAAACTGCACTTTTACGCGCCACCTCAGAGAACCTTGAATGCATCAATGGACATAATCAAGTAATATCGTTTAATTTGGCTATATTTAGATTTAGGATTGGAATGCAGGACGTTCTGTAACGAGGGAAATGATCCGCAGACTCTAAAGGACTTCAGGCCAAATGAAAGGAAACTGTTTGATTATTCCACCCCGTGTTTGTTCACTCATTCAGACTCCTCATTGCCCCCCCCCTTTCCCTCACGCCTCCCTTCACCATTGTCCCTGTCTGTCTGATTCTGTTGTAGAAACATGTCATTCAGGTTTACCAAAAGGTAGGACTCTTTCCCGCCTTTTTTTTTTTTTTTTTTTTGCTCCGTGCCCCAAAACCCCCAAATTAACCAGAACCATCTCCCTGAAAAACAAACGCACAACGACTTCCTCTTTGAGCGTGTCGAGGCTGCTGGCACTGACTAACACGCCGCATGGCTGCAGACAAACTCCCCGCGGGGCCGTGCACACGCACACGCACACGCTTCAGGTCCACGACGGACGGGATTCAGAGCGTTCGCATCGAATCCACTTAGAACCACGATTGAGAGCAAAACGGAGGAAACCTGGTCGCAGAGCCGGAGGCGTCTGAGGTGCTGTGCGTGTGCACGGACCCCGGGGGGGCGGGTTCGGTCTGAGTGGATGAAGCTGATTGGTCGAGAGGACCAGACTCGATGAGTCGGTCGGAGCAGCTTGCCACTAATCGACTGCTGATGCATGCTGGTCCTCACAGCCGCCGTCCATCGCTGTCGTCCAACCTGCTCTCCTTCGCTGATGTTGACGCTTCACGTTTTAGACGGAGCCTGAAACTTTATTCTGCTCCATTTGTTCAACTTAAAACCCAGATCTTTTTTTTTTTTTTTCTTGCCTGTGGCTCAGATCTGATTTTTTTTCATGAAAGATTTTCCCGTTTTTAAACTGAGGAGAAAACGTTGGCGCTTTTAAAGCCTTTGTGATCCTTCCAGTGGTTTAAACTAAAAGCAAATATCTTTACGTTTAGTTTTTGGGAAATGTTTCGTGTTCCAAAACTTTCTGGGCTTTGGTGAATCATTTTAAGAAGAATTGAAGATGTGTAACCTAAAACATCATAACTAAATACAATCTGGGACTCTTGCCTCCCCCTCAACCCCGTTGGGTCATTTTCTCCCCTTAATGAGGTCACGGTGTGAAAAAGAAAATGTTCTTGAAGCTTTTTGCGAGGTCTCGTCCTCTGGACCGGAGGAGTTTTTTGGCCCTTGCAGGTTCCCGTCTGGCGGCTCAGCGGCGCCCCCTGGGGGCTGATTGTGGAAGAATCATCATCATCATCTTCGTCCTCCAGCGCTCTGGATTCATCATCGTCCTCCTTCTGTCTCACCAATCACCTCACTTCTTTTCTGTTATTTTTTTAATGTTCATTTTCTGTGCAGACAAAATGTAGTAAAATATTATTAGACGGGTCAAAAATGTTTGGATATAAAAATATGTTCATGAGCTTTATTCTTTAAATTAAACGTAATTTACTTTACTGCAAATATGCAACTCCTACTTCTTATCATTATTATATTGTTATTTATTATTTGGGTTTGCTATTAAACAAGACATCGGAGGACTCGAATCCTTCTATTTAAATCAATAAAACAGCCAACAGATAAATTGATAACTGAACCAGTTGTCGTCCGTAAAGAGAAATTATTAGGTGGTTGAATAATTATTTTATTTTGTCTTAATTATTGAGTATTTATTGGTTATTTTTAACCAACTGAAGTAGAAAACTCATTTTTAAACACAAAGTATAATTATTTCTGACTTGTCTGATAACGTTTTACTGCGTTTCACTTTTGAACCTCAGCACCTTTCAACGCATTCGGGGACTTTAACCACCGAGTTGTTGTTGTTGTTGTTGTTGTCCTCCTCCTCCTCCTCCTGGTTTTTTTTTTCTGTTCTTTTTTGTCTTCCTAACCTTCCTGTGTCCTTTAACCTTTTGACCTCTCGCTGCTCTTCCTCTCCTCTCAGGGTCAGTATTGACCCGGCCAAACGGCAGACGGCCAAAACAGGGCCTGCCCCCCCCTCCAGCCAGGGAGGAAGGAGCCTTAGTAAGTCCTCTGCCCTCCAGTGTCTCCTCAGCTGTCCTTCCTTCTCATGCTCCTCCACGGCCTGTCCTCATGTCCATGCATTTTATATCCTTTCCCTCTCGCTCTTGATTATTATTTTTTTATTTTATTTTATTTTTGTCACGTTTCCATTTGAGGAATATTTTTTCAGATTCCCGTTTTTTCTTTTCAGATTCAGGAGCAGAAGATATAGAGAGTTGTAGGAAGATGAAGATCTAGAGTAAGGGGCCGTTTTGATCCCTCAACCTCTTCCTCTTGAGATAAAGTCTTGAGTTATGTGGAGGGCCCCCCCTCCCCCCCCCCCCCCCTCGCTCTTTCACAGCCTCTGACTGACCCGGGATCAGCTGTCGATCCCGTCTGTCGGTCCCGTCTGTCCTCTTGTCCACTTGTCCTCTTGTTGTCGGGGAGCTCGGACTCACTTCCTCCTCCACCCCGTCCTGTTTTTTGTTGTTGTTTCTGTTCTCCAGGCAGCAGTGCATGCTGGGAGACTGATAACAATAAAGGGAGCAGGGAGATTTCTGCTTATTTTCCTTTTTTAATCTAATCTTTTGTGAAACACGCAGACGTTTTCCTCGTGTTCGTAGTTATTCAGAGACCAGTTTCCTGTCGGTTTAACACCTTATTCCCAGTAGAAGGTGCTGACTTTATTACAAAGTTATTATTTTTATGGAACCCTTATTGATAAAATGCTCTGTTGTCATTTTATTTTTAAAAAACGTCAAATATAAGATATGATGACAAAGAATATGCAAGATGTACGTTTTTGTCAAATCTAGCAAAATACATAAAGTATTATTTAAAAAATCACGATACCATAAAGTATACTTTATTATTTAATTTATTAAAGAGGACTGTTTATTGATTCCCAAAGTAGAAATATTTCATATTAAATGATTTCCAAGATTAATTTCGGACAATATTTATGTGTACAGGTAAACCGACACAGAAAATATAATAAAGTAAGCTGGTATAACGTATTTAAGCAATAAGGCCAGAGGCTGTATTTTATTGTCCAATAATGTAACGGTCCGGGGGGGGTTGTCGGGCCCGACATCAGGAAATATTAATTAAAAGAGACTTTAACACTTAGAATAAAACCCGGAGACTCTTTAGTGTAAATACTTTATATAAATATAATATAAACAGCTTGTTCCACAACATCCCACGTGGCATTACACACTCTTACACAAAATTAGTGATGCATGTTGACATTTACGTTTTCTTTTCCACAAAGTTAAAGCAACACGATGGGATAAAGTTATTTTTTTCCATATTAATACCAAACACATTTTCATGAATCTTTTTTTTTTTAAAGCCTTTTCTGGAGCTTTTGGCTTCAGTGGGCGGAGCTTAAGAACCTGGGGTGAAATAAGAGGGAACGTGTTCTACTTTTTGCATCAGATGGCCTTTTTTTAGGTCAAAAGTGTGAATATATGCTTTAATAATTGTGCACATAATTTATTATTTAATAATAGCATTCCTACGTAAACACCTAAACTAGAAGTAGGTAATCTAGATTTTGCATTTTTAATTCAGAGGAGGAAGGTTGCGGATAAATAAGCTGCTGAAGCTCTCCTGAACGTCTGCTCTCCTGGTCAGAGGACCAAGATGCATTTCTGTGTGCAGACGTTTTCTGTAAATTGTTGGTTTGAGAACATTCATCACTGTTTATTTTTCATGTACTTTTTTTTTAATTTATCATCATGATTCTTCACAGGAAGTGAAAAAGAAACGCGTCCATGTCTTTGTATTTTTGTGTGTTCGGTGGTGGCTCTCGTTGTTCGTTTTCACATCGGTGTCACTCTCCTTCTCCTTCTTCTTATTTGCACGCAGTCTTTCTTTATTGATGTTGAAATAATTTCCTTATGCACAATCCACATCTTTTTCTTGTTTTTCCTCCTCCCTGTCTGATCTTCTCGTGGTCCTCCAGAGTCTCAACCGAGTTTGAGAGAAACGGGAGACTTGAGGGCTCAAGGTGAGAGTCCCCCCCCCCCCCCTCATATCCCCCCACAAGCCCCTGCTGTGTGTTGTTCCTCCTTAAATGTTCTGTAAACTCCAGCTGCTCCTCTCCCTCATAGGAAGCCCTCTCGGCTGGGACGCATGCGCTGCTCTGTTAGCATGCGCTGCTCTGCTAGCATGCTCTGTTAGCATGCGCTGCTCGGTTAGCATGCTCTGTTAGCATGCGCTGCTCGGTTAGCATGCGCTGCGCTGTGTCCTTGTCAAGCCGAGGAGGCTCTTGTACCCCTCTGCCCTCCCCTTGAAGAAATAAGACCGCATGGACGTGTTTGACGTTACATTCAGTCACAGCTTTATTTTTTTTATACACACAAGATTAGATCCAATTAGAACCAAATCCACCAAAATGTACGGAAAATAATTGGAAATGAATCTTTTTATCTGCTCGTTTTGTCTCGTTTTGACTTGAGCTCTTATTTTCTTAGTTTAATATTTAAAAGTGCAGTTTTTAAATATTAAACTATTAATTAAAATGAAGAGAAACCCTTTGGTGGTGTAATTAGGGAGAATAACGATAATGGGGGAAAATCACACCGTCACAAAAATGGTTCAGTAAAGTAATGCAGAGCTTTGACTTGAATGTAATGATTGTCTGAGGCTTTTACACGTGATGAGTTTGAATGCAATGATTAATTGTGTTTTGAGTCCTGGTAGAAACAAACTCCAGCCAATCAAGTTTACAGGATTAGTTTGAGACTTTCTGGGAAATTTGCTTGTGTGCCGAGAGTTGGTTGAGAAATACGGCCGATAAATAGTCCTGTTAAACTTACATGACGTTAAAGAAAACATCCAGAAAGAGACACACTGAGTCTTAAAATGACAATAAAAAACAGGCAGAGCCGCTTGTCTCGTAGTGATCTCATCATAACTCCTGGCGGAAAGCGAATAAAACCCTCAAAGTTCAAACTGGTCCTTTGGCTTCTGACGAGCTTCTCTGAGCGACGCTCACGCGTGTGTTCGATCGGACAAAGATTTGAAGAGCAGCACGTGACCTCGACCTCCCGACTCACACCTGTGTGCGTTCCTTCCACAGTCGCCATGTACCTGGGGATCAAAAAGGGGAAAACAAAGACGGTAAACCCCGCGCCCTCCGATTCACTTGGAGTATGAGGACCACCAGCTCCATGGAGCCCTGTGACATCATGCGGGAGATTCGCAAGGTGCTCGACGCCAACAACTGCGACTACGAGCAGCAAGAGAGTTTCCTGCTGCTGTGCGTGCACGGGGACGGGCGGGCGGAGAACCTGGTGCAGTGGGAGATGGAGGTCTGCAAGCTGCCGCGCCTCTCGCTCAACGGCGTCCGCTTCAAACGGATATCCGGATCATCCATCGCTTTCAAAAACATTGCTTCCAAAGTTGCCAATGAGTTAAAGCTATGAGCAAAAGAAAAAAAAGGGGGGAGGGGGGGTTAAAGTATATATAAATATATCTAGAAGTATTTAAGCTGTACAATCATCCAAGTAGCAGTTTCCAAATGTCTCTTTTTCTAAACAAAATACAGAGTATGTATTGAATATTCTAATGTATAGATTAAGGCTTTTGGCAATAATCACTGAATTACCTACTAATATCTGTCTATCCAGGCCGACATTAACGAGTTGAATATTTGTTATGCTGTGAATGGACAAAAAAATTAAACATTTCTATTCTTATTTATTTCATCTTATTTTTCCTGCTGGGAAAAATAAAAACATTATGTAGTTTTCAGTGTAAATATTCTCTTTACTTTCCACACGGCTTCACTGCAATACGCATTGTTTCTTTTGTATTTAGTTTAAAAAGTAGAGATGTGGAGTCTGTAAATGGTCACATGGTTTATGGGTCACTCATGTCTCAATTAAAGTGTCAACTTGAATGTGTCACGCTGGTTATTTGTCACGAGGTGGAAATAACGGTCTGACTTTCAGCACCACGTCTATTTCTTCAGCACTAAAACCAGGTGTCTTTAAAGGGGAAGATGGACGGTTTTAAAGGCCTTTGATAGACTGAGGCATTCAGTAAATCCGCTTCAAGACAAAGCCTTCAGGTCATATTCGGCCTTTATGGCATCAGTGCTTCAAAGCACTCTACATTCGTCCCAATATAAAACTGACAGCATCTTAAATGCGAAGATTGAACCAGTAAACTGCAGCGTTTCCCTGAACTAAACGTACATTTAAACCGCTTTATCTTTTAGATCAGTTAATGAATTCAACTGCCTTTGAGTTTTCAACTCAGATCAGAAGATTAATGAGAATCAGGATTTCTTTATGAAGCAACATGTCAGAATCAGTAAAGTTGAAACAATGTTTTATTTTATTTCCATCCTTACAGGAACAGTTGTCTTAAATACACAAACAGGTACAGAATGGCTTTCAGGGACAGAGTCAAACATTCATTCAGTTTCAGGTGTCGGGATGGTTTTACTTCTGGGCAGGCATGATGTCATCGATAGACTGGCCCTTCTCCAGCTTCTTCTCCATCTCCACCAGCAGCTTGACTCCATCCACCACCATCTGCACCAGCTCCACCTCAGAGAAGCCCAGTCGGTCGGCGTTGGAGATGTCGAACACTCCGCCCACAGCGGCCGTGTCGACTCCACCTGATGGAGATGAGACAGAAGGTTTGAGTCAGTGTCTTGATGGACATGCAGAGATCATTTGTTGGGGGGTACGAACCAGTTCCACGTTTCTGGAGCCTCAGCTTCTTCAGAACGTCCTCAAACTTTGCATTTTTGCTCATGTTGGGAAGCTTCACGTGCACACCGGCACGCAGGCCAGTGCCCAGGTTGGAGGGGCAGGTGAGGACGTAGCCCAGGTGCTCGTTCCACATGAAGGCGTGGTTCCTCTCCTTGAACAGGGTCTCGATCTAGTCACAAGAGAAGAGGATCAGGTCCTTGTGCCGATGTGTGAACAACCCCCGCTGCCCCACTAACACATTTCCTGCTGACCTTGGTGAGTCCGGTACAGAAGCGGTTGAACACCTCCTTCATGTTGCCGCCCTTCTGCATAGAGATGACGCGCAGGTGGTCCTCCTCATTCACCCACACCAGGAATGTCTTGCTATCGTTGTGCCTTCAGACAAAATATCATCTTTAGTTTCTTTGACAGTTAAATCTGCCAAAAGGGAACCTCCCCTACGCTGTGACGAGAGAGGAAGCCTCACCAGATGCCCCTGGCGTCGGGCCAGTCGCGGCCCATCCCGGAGGCCAGCAGCAGAGGAGACACTGGCTTGTCAAACAGGAAGTGGTCGTCGATGAGTTGCTGCTGCTCGGCATCAGTCATGTTCTTCAGGGCGTAGTATTTTCCATTCAGGTCTCCACTCAGAGAGGCCAGAGCTGCAGGGAGGGAAAGATCACATTAACACAAATATGTACGAATGCAACATTACATGACATATGAATCATATCCTCCTGTAAGGCCGCAATCTGTCGCCGTTCCGCGCGCTGCCACCAGAGGGAGCCCTCTGCTACACGAATGAGTGAGCAGCATCAGCTGCAGGCTGCAGCACTATAAAGCCTTTTACGTAACAGAATCAGCACATCTACCCATCTGTGTGCAGAGCACTTGGTGCGGATGATTCTGTCCGTGCAGAGTCACTCAGACTGCAAAGTACCTGCAGTGTCAGCAGCAACCTTCAAGAGGCCTCTTTACCTTCGATGGAGAGCTTCTCCACAGCACGCCGCTCCCCTCGGCTGCAGTGAGGCGGCAGGCAGAAGCCGCGTACGCTGCGGCCTGTTCGGACTCGGGAGCTCAGGACGTAGTTGGAGTCAAGGTCGTCACCACCCTGAGTGGGAGGACACGCGTTACCTTCTCCGTTCACAAACGGTCAGCCATGTTGATTAGCAGAGGGCTGCGGTACCTTCAGGTTGCTCGGGTTGAGGTCAGTCTTGTGCTTGTCGGAGGGTTTGTATCCTCCATGTCGGTCCTCGATCACTGGGTCCAGCAGCTCCTTGAAGACCTCGTACGTCTCCTCGTCTCCTGCGACGCAGCCCACCGTCATGATGAAGGGGTGTCCTGCACAGAGCCAACGGGGTCACACAGGAGACCGTGGACGGACTGAACATCCTCACAAGCACAGTCTGCCGCCTCATCACATACTGTACCGGGGTTGTCACCCCGTCTGAATGACACCATCTATGGTGAAGCTGTTGGGTGTAGCCCGCTCACTCAGCCGCTGGTAAAGGTCCAGGGTAAAGATCTTGGCCATGTGGTTGTTGTGCTGACAGATCTGAGAACTTCCTCAGCAGACTGTCTCTTTAGTTCTGAGCTGAAGGGTTAAAGCACCTTCAGGTCGACACATTCATCTAGTGTGTGTGTGTGTGTGTGTGTGTGAGGATTATCAGCTGGCTCTGCATACATTATGCAACCCTGCTAATCTTTAACATTCGCAATAAAGCGGCGCTGATACCGGCGGCCGGTCACAGGGAGCTGACACGGTTTCTAACTGATTGAGCTCTCAGTGCGTCTTAACGTCGGAGGCTTTATCCCGTCGGCAAGGTCACGGTGCAGGAAGCCGTGTGCGCTCAGAGCGCACTGCGGCCAATGCACGCGCACGACCACGCACGACGCTAAAAGCCGCTTTCTCTCTTGTTTTTTTTGGTTTACCTGGGTTGTCGATCCCAGTCTGAATGACATCATCCAGAGTAAAGCCACTGGGGGTCTCCTTGGTCCTCAGCCGCTCGTACATGGCCGGAGTCAGGATCTTGGCCATGTGGTTGTTGTGCTTGCTGAGGTCCGGATACTCCTGCTCCGAGCTGTACTTCAGCTTCAGCTGGTTGTGCGTGTTACCGAAAGGCATGGTTTCTCCCTGGGGGGGGGATGGGGAGGATGGGGAGGAGGGGGAGTAGACGGTGAAAAGCAGAAAAAAAAGCGAAAGCAGTGTTGAAATATTTACACGTAGAGTCCTCTGCAGATTCCTCTGGATGTTACATTTCAGCTCGTGTCCAACTCCTCGTGAACGCGGAATAAGATTATGTGCCGAAATATGCAGGATAAACATTTTATGCTTAAGATTTATTTTATACCATTGCCATAATCTTGACGATAACGTTCATCTATTGCGCGGAAATAGGCCGATGGAAACGGTCTCTATCGGACACCATTTTATCAATCAAATATATAAAATAATGCGCCAATTTGATATAATTCGGCGTTAAATTAAATATGTTTCATACCTGTCGTCGAATTTGAGGACTACTACTACCAGGAGATGAGACAAATATCCCTATTGTTCCGACCGAGCAGCTCACGAACCAGCAGCAGCGTCCGAGCAGATCTGCGGTCCGGCGCACAGCGCGAGGCCGTAATTTATAGCCGAGCGTCTCTGCTCCCATTGGTCAGAATGTGAACTCAATTCATTTGATTGGACGCGCTCTGAGTGAAGGAGGGACTTCTTCTTCGTACACATATTACACTCCTAATTCAATTATTTGTGCCACACATCGTCATTTTCAAATACTATAATATAAAATATGATCCGATTTAATAGTTTATTTTACAAAAAGAATAACTTAACCGACATAATGTTAAACTCGTTGGAGAGATGCGGCTTCGGGAGGTGAAACGCAGATCTACAAATCATCCGGACTGCGTCTCTGAATCATCTGGTCAGCGGGGGAAGTTTACCGGTTTGTGAAGTAAATCAGCTTCCGGTTGCATCTCCTCAACTTCCTCTGAAAACAACACCACGTGTGTGAGGGGAATGAATGGGTAGCTGTCAGCTCCGTACACATGCACGTTAAACGGCACTAACAGCCCAATTTACCGCTCCCGGTTGAAACGCGGACCTCGCGGGACGGTAGGTCGACTCTCCAACGGTCATTTCACCCGCCGCGCGTAGTTCAGCGAACGTTGGTGAACGACTACTGCAGCTCACGTTAGCATGCTAGCTAGTTAGCAGGTGAAAGTAAAGTTGGCCTTACAGACATTTTAAGCACTGTGATCTTTCTAAAAGGGCGAATTTACTTTTTTAAACCTTGAAATCGAAGTTACTCGAGTTCAACTGCATGACAATGTGATTGGATAACACAACGCTTCCTTACAAGTAATCTTTAACCATTAACGTTAGCATCAGTTGGGATAACATTATGGTATTTAAATTAGCTAACGTTAGCATCAGTTGGGATAACAATAGTGAATTAAATTACTTAACGTTAGCATCAGTTGGGATAACATTATGGTATGTAAATTAGCTAACGTTTGCATCAGTTGGGATAACATTATGGTATGTAAATTAGCTAACGTTAGCATCAGTTGGGATAACATTATGGTATCTAAATTAGCTAACGTTAGCATCAGTTGGGATAACATGGTATGTAAATTATCTAACGTTAGCATCAGTTGGGATAACAATAGTGAATTAAATTAGCTAACGTTAGCATCAGTTGGGATAACATGGTATGTAAATTATCTAACGTTGGCATCAGTTGGGATAACAATAGTGAATTAAATTAGCTAACGTTGGCATCAGTTGGGATAACAAGAGTGAATTAAATTAGCTAACGTTGGCATCAGTTGGGATAACAATAGTGAATTAAATTAGCTAACGTTAGCTTGGGTAGTGTAATTTAAAAGCCCATTAAATGCGTTGTGTTAAAGTCCATTCCTCCTCCCACTTGTGTTTCCTTAATCTAACGTTGATTAAGTTCTATCAATCCCAACGTGGTGACTTAATTAACTATCTGACCTTGACGTGAATGAACCTGGAGATAAACAGAAATACAACAACACTCATTTGACAATCTGCGGGTTAACTCACGTATTCTGGGTGTTCGTGAAGAAGCAAAGTGAACCCGGTCTCTCTGTTAACTTAAGAAACGAACGTTGAGTTCAATTTAAGTTCAGTTTAAACTGTCGCTGCGCGTTCGGGGTTCACGCGCATTGAAGATATTCCTCTGCTCCCATAGACGTCTATGAGAAAACGACTCTACTTCTCTCTGGATTTATTCCCTCAGTAAACATTGTAAACATGAGTTCATCGTCTCAATCTCTAGTTTCAAGTCTTCTTCACTACAGCGTGATCTTCATTTAGTTAATCATGGTCCATTTAAAGTCAAACAGACCGTAAAGCAGGGGATGCTTTGGGGCGGGGCTAAACAATGATTGACAGGTCGCTACTGAACCTTAAAACAGGGGGGCTTTATTGTGAGTGACAGTCAGCTTCCCTTTAAACAAAAACCGCCGAAATGGCAAACAGAAGTTGGATGATGTGACGGGTTTGTGTGTGTGATGAATTCATCACAGTGGTTCGAGGATCGCAGTTGGTCGGGCGACGCTTTTAAAGACTGCACGTTGACAATATAACTACATTTAGGAACACATGATGCATGAAGCTTGAAAGAAATCACCAGTTTTCCTAATCAAGTCATGACTTGAAATAATCTCCCAATACTTTAACCTCTTCACATGTGTTACTTTTTGTAAATAGTTTTTCATTTTTATTTTAATGGTTGCTGTTTAATTTCTGGGCTTGTGAATGAACCTTCTCATAATGAACATTACTCAGTTGGTGAGCCTCCTTCCTCCCGCTCGCAGGCCCACTGTGCTCGCCATGAGTTTTGTGGAGTACTCGGACCTCATTCGGGACGGTGACGTCGCCATCGTCTACCTGGGCCACGAATCCATGATGCACGTCAAGGTGAAGCAGGGCGCCCAGACGCAGACGCGCTACGGAGTCATTCGCCACTCCTCCGACCTGATCGGTCGGCGCTACGGGTCCAAGGTCACCTGCAGCAAAGGCGGGTGGGTCTACGTGCTTCACCCGACGCCGGAGCTGTGGACGGTCACCCTGCCGCACCGCACGCAGATCCTCTACACCACCGACATCGCCACCATCACCATGATGCTGGAGCTGAAGCCGGGCTGCGTGGTCTGCGAGTCAGGTGAGCGGACGCAGCTTCACAACGAGAAGCTTTGGCTTCACCTTCAGGATCCTCAGGACGCTGTCCTGCTTTTATGGAAAAGTGGGAGCCTGAACTTTGAGGGATTAACTGGATTATTTCTGTTCTCGGTACAAAAGGCCTCTGATCCGTGATGTTGAAGCTGCACTTTGCATGTTGGCGGTTGTAAATGTCACGAAGAGGCTTCTGGCAGGTCGACATGCGTGTTGTAATGAAGCTTCACACCAAATTACATCAGCTAGTAAAGATGGAAGAAATACTGCAGTATTTTCTTTTAGAAATTCAAACTGGCCGGTGTTTCCATTTTCTGCTACTTTATAAAAGAACTATTTTTGTCTTCGTTACTTCCTGTCACACAGAAACACACTTCTCTAGATGAAAAGTGTTGCTTTTATCTGTTCCTCCATCTTCTTAAACGCTGTCGCAGAATTTCAGGGCTGTTTTCTATTTTTAGAGCGACGTTGTCCTCACAGGACAGCGACAAATATGTGATGTTCTTATGGAACGTGATGCATTGATAACAACAGGATATACACGAGTTTACATTTAACATGCAAATGATCAACACGCAGTCAACATAGACCAATACTTTACACTTAAAGTACATTTAGCAAATACTACTGACAGGTCTTCTCTCCTAGTGAGTATGTTCAGTGTCTTCGTAGTATTTCCTCCCCTGGTTCAAGTAGGGGGAAGGGACATTCCTCTCTATTGCAACGCGTTCTTACATAATCTTCACCACGGTCGCTTTTAGTAGATGTAAATGGTCCCGTTCAGTCACATGTTTCGCCCCGCTGAGCCTCAGCTGGTCATATTAAACATCATGTGACGGCTCGCAGATGCGCCCGAGGCGGTTATGTAATCCAGTGTTTGTGGACGTTGTCACTCCGAGTGTGTCGCTGCTTCTAGGCCAAGAGGCAGCGAGGGCGGAGAGGAGGAGGAGGAGGAGGTTAAAATGCGTCTGGTGGTGCAGCGCTCCATCACCTTTTAGTGCGTGTGTCCCGGCTGATGAATGAGCTCGGTGGGAATTCGGTTTAGTCAGCAAGACTGTTTGCATCACATTACTCTTAGAGGACGTGTTTTCATCACACGCTGGAGGATTAAAACCTGCAGCCGACGTCTGATCCCGTTTGAGTTCAGAGGACCAACGGTTTGAATGTCGGACCGTTTCTTGAAGCATTTTATTAGCCGCATTGAGGCGCTAATCGGCGCCCTGACTCGCTAATGTCGGAGGGTGGTAGTTTAACTGGGACACGCTGTCCTGTGGGGGGAAGGATTGGGGGATTTGGGGGGGCGGTTGTTTCAGGTCAGTGTACCGTGTAAATAAGCAGCGATTAGAGGCGGTAATTTCCATGGCTGTTCTCACTTGCTGAAGGAGCATCTGGTGTAGAGGAGTCACCTTTGCTTGACATTTACTGTATTTGTCCCCCGCATCACCCCCCCACCACTCCCCCACCACTCCCCCATCACCCCCCCCCCCCCCCCCCCCCCACCCTCTGCATCACCCCCCCACCTGTATCAGAGATTCTGTATCGTCAGCGGATGCTCACTGGAACTCAAGGGCTTTGGAGTCGTGGTTTTGAGGTTGCACAAACAACCAGCCACAGCTGGTACAGGAACAACCCCCAACCAGGAGGGGGGGGGGGCGCAGTAGTTGTGCTTCTGGCTTGTGTCGGTGTTTTGAAGTACTGAGTGATCATGCATCCTTTTTAGGAAACGGGCCTTTAGTGGCAGCCGATGTATTTTACCGTAATAATAATTAACACCGACGTGTGTTGCTGCCTTAAAAGAAAACACGGATAACAAAAGACTGATAACACAACGTGTACAGAGACCGGAGCTTCCGGACTTTTACTTTCACTTTCTAAATTTGAAGTATAGTTCCCTGACAAACCCCCCCGCTAGTATCTGCACGCGCTGTAGAACAAAGAGCACAGGCCCCCTCCCCCATCGGCCCCATCCTTCTCCTCGTACCACCCAGGTTCTGTGAGACGATGCGAGTCGTCTCGGACCGTTTCAGCATCGACGATGTCGGCGGCGGTTGATGCGGCTGGCGCTCGTAGACGGGGTCAAACCGACGGGGTCAAACCGACGGGGTCAAACCGAGCTCCTCCTTGTGAGGTCCTGAAATACACACTTCTTCTAGCGGCCTGGTGCTCTTTGTAGGACGCGTCACTGAAGCTCCGACCTCGTGTTTCAGTATGATTGTTTCCAGCTACACACTCGCATCAACAAGCCCTTTTGTGTGTGTGTGTGTGTGTGTGTGTGTGTGTGTGTGTGTGTGTGTGTGTGTGTGTGTGTGTGTGTGTGTGTGTGTGTGTTCCCCGCTGAGTGATCAGCATTTAGTTCTAAGATAAACCACTTAGTGCATTAAAAATTGATCACAAAATAATCTGATATCTTCCAAACATTTCATCTCCATTTAAAACAGTGTTTTTTTTGTTTTGGATTTAATTTCACTTTACGGTTTTTATTCATTTATCAACATGAAATCCAGTGAGGGCACATTCAGTCCTTCACGCATAACGATGAAAGAACTAATGAGGAGATTTAAGCAGAAGGCTCTTTGTGTGTGTGTGTGTGTGTGTGTGTGTGTGTGGTTATGTAACCAACAGCTGCTTTTGTCTGCATGTTCACATCTGCGTGTTCTCGCTCCTTCAGTCCGTTACATCGGCGGCGTGTGAGGTCCGTTGCAGTGGGCGACACATTGGCCTCTTTGTCGCCACACGGACAAAGAAGACGCTGACGTAATACCGGGAGGGGGAGGGGGGGGGTCTGGCGTCTAGCTGTGCCCTCGATGCCCCTCCCCCTCAGTCACATGACTGCTGGTGTTCCTCATCCACAGTCCGTAGCTCTGCGCGCGCACGAATGAAGCGTTCCCTCGTGTGTGTGTGTCCTCAGATAACTGCGTAGAGTAGAGTGTTAATCCTCAGGCGCAGCGTTGCGTCCTCGAGGTCGAGCGTGTGTCCCGTTCTGTGTGCCAACTAATCGCTGGATGTCGTCTCCACGGTGTTGACCTGAAGTACTGCAGCAGCGGGAGAGCTACAAGTATTGATTGTCGTCTGATTGTCGTCTGATTGTCGTCTGATTGTCGTCTGATTGTCGTCTGATTGTAGTCTGATTTCAGCGGTTTACCTTTTTAATCAGTGAACCATTTTTTAAAGTGAAATAAATAGTGAAAACCAATTTTACATTTTTCCCATGGTAGACGACTACAGTTCATTGTATTCGCACCGACGTGGTCGATTGACAAGTAGCTCAGGAGTGAAGTGTGCCCCCCCCCCCACGATAAACCCCCTGAGGACCGGAGTCCAATCCTCCAGGTCTACACGGCCCTTTATCCTCCTTCCTTAATAAGGTGACTGATATTGCCCCCCCCCCCAGGGACCGGCAGCGGCTCGCTCTCCCACGCCATCCTGCGCTCCGTGGCCCCCACGGGGCACCTGCACACGGTGGAGTTCCACCAGCAGCGGGCGGAGAAGGCGGCGGAGGAGTTCAAGGAGCACGGCGTGGACGGGCTGGTCACCGTCAGGAACCAGGACGTGTGCAAGGACGGCTTCGGGGTGAGCGGGGTGGCGGACGCCGTCTTCCTGGACATCCCCAGCCCCTGGGAGGCCGTGAGACACGCCAAGGCGGCCATGAAGAGACAAGGTAGGACGGCGGGCCGAGGACGCGCGCCTCCCATGGATGGATGTGACCCTTTTAGGCCTTTGTGTGGTTTGTCGCAGGTCAGATCTCTCACACACTGAATGTTGTGTTTGTGAACGTTTGGTCTCCGGGCGTTTCTTGCTGCAACGTCTCTGCCGGTAAATGAACGCCCGCTTCCTGATTATCTGTCCGCACTCAAAGGCGTCGCATGGCGAGAAGCACTCATCCCCCTGATGTTGACTCGTCTGTGACTCGCCCCGATGCAGCAGCAGCATGACTGAGCATGTTTAAAAATACCCCCCCCCCCGCGCTCAGACCGTCCATCAATCGCTGCCTCGCTGACCTTGAGTTGTTTGTTCGTGGTCACAGAGTGAACTGGCGTTGGGGTTTCCGTGACGACCAGAAGCGGCAGCGAGTCGGGGCAGGTTGGCCTCGTGTGTCGGCGCTATGGGGCAATAACTGACCTTTTAAAAAGGAAATATCAATAGAATGCAAATGTTCCAGTGCCTCTGAAGTCGCTACAAAGATGCAATTATCGTTGTTTCACGATATCGATACCGTGAATTATTAGAGGTTTAAATATTTACTGTTTGTCGTTGGTTTAGAAAAAGACTCGACTGTTTTCCGTCCGATGAACTGACAGCGTGAATTTAAAAAGTAAACCCCAATATGAAGAGGAATGCTGCTCTAACCTCCTCCTCAGTGAATCCCTTTTATGGTGCCACTCCTACACACACACACACACACACACACACAGATAAATAGTGCAGCCATTGTGGAAGCCGTCCCATGACCATACAGGGCGATGCTGCAGGGAGAGCTGGTGACTGAGGGCTGCTGTGGCATTATCACTCCCATGACATCATGGTGTAATCTGACTTTACTGCTCTGACTGTTTGTACCATGTGACGGTAGCGTGGTAAATGGTGTCGGTCCAGCAGGAGAACGTTGGATTATTCAGCACGATGAGTTGATGCTTGAGAAGCATCGACACAAAATTCCTCCTCTTGACTGACTCCAGATCTGTTCTCAGCCCTGAGGGGGGGCGTTGCTGAGAGCTGGTTTATTGCAGTGGACAGAATGTAATTCTTCTTCTGTTTTGGCCCCCATCCCGGCCTCTGAGCGTCCCCCCTCCCCCCCTTTTAAGGCTCTTTATTATGCAACAGTGGAGCAGACGTGTCCCACGAAAGCCGAAGCCTCGTCGGCCCGGTGAGTCTCTGCGTGTGCTCGTATCAGCAGGCTTCATACGTGCACGTTTATCACTCCAGGCGCCTCTGTGCAATCATCCACCCGACCCCCCCCCCCGTGCGTCCCGCCCCCGGTTGCTAGGCGCTGTGTTTATCGCGGTCTCCGGGGAGACGGCCGGTCCTGGTTGGCTAAAAGGAACGCCGGTATCTGAAAAACCCCCCAAGTTCACCGCGCCCCTGAGGGTCCCTCTCCGCCGGAGGAACTCACAAAAGTTCCTCTCATGGTTATGGTTTCACGACTAAACCGAAGGATACGTGAGGGTTCTCCCCCAGAATCGACCAGGCGCCCCTTTTGAAACCCCACCCGGGTCCGCCGGCTGGATCGGAGGGGATACTAAGAGCAGCTTGTTCGCCCAGATGTTCTGCTCAGTCACTCTCTGGGTCGGCCGGCGGACGTTTCTTTGGCCCGGTGCTCCGCCCCCCCCGCCGAGAGTCACCGCGGGCCTTCCCGCACAGCCGACGAGTGCGGGGGGGGGGGGGGGGCCCTGTGTTCTAAAAAGGTTCTTTGGGTGTGAACAAATGAATAAAAAGTATCCCCCGTTTACCCGGAAATGTGGGCAAACTCCTATCCATCTAAAGGTGAATCGCTAACTGACCTGCTAGTGAACGGTACTGAAGGACCATGAATACCTCCCAACCTCACATGTAACAGACTGCGTCTTGGTCATATTTTGGGAGCATGACGCCGTCTCTCTCTCTCTCTCTCTCTCTCTCGCCCCCCCCCTGCAGGGGGCCGTGTGTGCTCGTTCTCCCCGTGCATCGAGCAGGTCCAGAGGACGTGCGAGGCGTTGGCCGAGGAGGGCTTCGAGGAGATCAGCACCCTGGAGGTCCTGCTGAGGGTCCACGACGTGCGGACCGTCTACCTGCCGCTGCCCGACTTCGGCGCAGACCTCTCCGCTCAGACCGACGACGACGCTGCCGCCCCCACAGAGACCAAGCCTCAGACCCCCGTCGCCTTGAAGACCACCACCCTGCCCAGAGAGATGCAAGGTCACACGGGGTACCTGACCTTCGCCTCCAAACCCAGGACCTGAAGTCCTCCGGCTTCTAATGCTCCCGTGTGTTTTTCCTCCACCAGAATAAGACTGTGATAATCCGGGGGGGTGGGGGGGGGGGCACCAGGTCCCAACTGGCACCGCAGCACCAAGAGGATTTATAGTTTTGTTACGTAATTTTATTTTCCTCCTCTCACTTGGAACCGGTTTGTTGCTTGAATCAAGCACGAGGAAAAACGAGTCGACGCAGATTTGGTTTGATAGGTTTACTTTCTGTTCTTTGTCCCCTTTCTATGAAACTCTATTTTAATCAGTTATTTTCATCATGAGGGGAAAATATCTACATTTTGTATTCAGGTGAATAAAACAAGAAGAGATCAAGATCTACAATAAGAACTCATTACATTTATTTCTTTACTGCATCGCTCTCAGTCCCATCTGTACTTGTTAGCTTAGCATACGTAGACATCTTAGGAAACTAACTCCAGATTTAACAATCGGATGCAACATTTCTGATCTTTCGAGCTGCTGGAAGGTCTGACGTCTCTACGACGGAAACCAATTCAAAGTCAACACACTAAAACGATCACATCTGAACACTTTGTTCCTCTTTCCTTCCAAAGATATTCAGTGTGTAAAAGTAGACGCGCTCTGACTCTTTAGTATCATTAAATCCCCTCCGGCCACGTTTTAGTACTTTCATCACCTGCCTGCGTTCAGAGGGGCCCGTTAACGGTTTAATCCCTGCAGCTTAACTGCGGGTTATAAAAAGCACCGAGGTCGTCTAAGTCGGTGACAGGTTGAGCGCCAGCAGACGGTTCGCTCTCAACGAGGTCAAGGACCAATCACGGGGGGGGGAAACCGAAAATGGAACCAGCCACTGGAGGAGATTCGAGTCGATCAATCACCACGCCGCTTCTCTGCTTTTAATCAACGCCGACTCGCTGGTCTGCATGGTCTGTCAGTCACAGTAAGCCCCGCCCTAAAGCATCCCCTGCTTTATGGTCTATTAGAGACCTGTCAATCACAGTAAGCCCTGCCCTGAAGCATCCCCTGCTTTATGGTCTATTAGAGACCTGTCAATTACAGTAAGCCCCGCCCTGAAGCATCCCCTGCTTTATGGTCTATTAGAGACCTGTCAATTGCAGTAAGCCCCGCCCTGAAGCATCCCCTGCTTTATGGTCTATTAGAGACCTGTCAATTACAGTAAGCCCCGCCCTGAAGCATCCCCTGCTTTATGGTCTATTCGAGACCTGTCAATTACAGTAAGCCTCGCCCTGAAGCATCCCCTGCTTTATGGTCTATTAGAGACCTGTCAATCGCAGTAAGCCCCGCCCTAAAGCATCCCCTGCTTTATGGTCTATTAGAGACCTGTCCATCACAGTAAGCCCCGCCCTAAAGCATCCCTGCTTTATGTGGTCTGTTTGACTCTAAGCTTCATGTACTAACTGCTGTATTGAAGACTTGGAACTAGAGATTGAGACCATAAAGGAAAAGACCATAAAAGTAGAAATAAACACTCGTTGGAAGACGTTAAGGTGACACTTGGTGGCTCTTCTGGGAGATAACGCCCCCCCCGCCCCCCCCATGCGATTTATAATCTCTACCAGCACGCTGCTGAGAACGTTCCTGTATTAAAGAAACACAAGCGTCTGTCATGTAATTGAGTGAAATGCTGGACCGACGCCCCGAGAAGCAGCAGGCGGCCCCCGAGGGTCCTGATCTGAGCCCCCGAGGGTCCTGATCTGAGCCCCCGAGGGTCCTGATCTGCCCGGCCGGGTGCCGGGAATAGCCGCTCTGATCTGGTTGATAATCCTGACCACGTAATCCGCTTGTCCTCTGGCGCCCTGAGCGCCGAGGCCCCGAACCCGCCCCGTCAGGGGGCGAGCACGCGGGGGGGGGGCGTGGCGTGGCGGCACACGACCACATCGAGGCCAGAGGGGGCGTGTCCACGGGGACCCTTTTGCTTTGAAGATAAACATAAGAGCAGATCGTCATGGCGACGGAGCTCCTGGTTTAAGATGCTAATGATGTATTTTTAACGCTGCGCTGTGTTCAGCAGCTCGTACATGAACTACTCACTGGTCCCTTACGTCCGATTTTACAATTTAAACTGGTTTCTTGTAGAATTAAAGTCGCTAAAGTAATTTTATGTCGCGGAAAACACATTTAGGATTTAACACAGTATTTATTGTTGTTGGTTTAATTTCTTTCCGCTCATGTTGAAGCGGGAAGCGTCATGAACTGATTGGAGTTGTGTTGTTGGAGACGATGCAGCTTCTTGTCTCCAGAAGACCTTCCAATGCCGGTGGGACGGAAAGGGAACCGGAGGGGAAGCCCACGATGAGATTAGAGGCAAAGCTTCTGCCGTCTGAATAAACCTCACACAGCAGCAGAGACGGATCGACGACGGCGTTCTGCAAAGTGAGGCTGCACGTATTTGTGTCAGGGTCAGAGGTCAAAGATCTCTGCTCGTGGACGCCTCGGCAGGGTTGGTTTCCGTGCGACTGACGTTGGCGACGAGAGGTTCCGCATTAAAAGCAGAATGACCGTTACCATGGAAACACAAAGTCAACATCACTGCAGTTTAAAACGCGTCGTAAACAAACTAAAATAATTTGGGGCAAAACAACAACAAGATGCTACCGGTGTTCAGGTGTCTTCTCTGGAGGACAAATAGTTAAATGTTCGTGGTCTCCTGAGGAGGTTCAGTTGTTTTTCTGTTGCTTCCTTTTAGATGTGACGTTATAATCGACAAGCAGCTGATTGACGTGTGTAAACATTCCCCTGCGGCTCCACCGATGACAATACAAATAATAATAAGGGTCGTGTTCCTGTGGGGGCCGAATGTTTCCATGAGGGCCGGAGGCGTCCTCGCTGCTCTCATTACCGCATGAAATATTGACGGGCAGCTCGATGGCGGTCGATCGGCGACGTGTCATGTTTTATAATATTGCACCTGCGACATTCAAAGTGGACATTTTAACGTTGTCCTTCCGTTTGTGTCGTGTGTAACTTAATAATAATTACACAAATTTACCCGCTTTCCAGCTTGCAAAGCCACTGAATTATATATTAACGCTTTTAAGACGTGATGACATGACGACACACGGCCTTCACAATCAGTCAAACGGGAGGATTTCCAATCATTTATTAAAAAGCAACTTTCACATTGAATATGTATCAGATGTTTTACAGACAGTTTGATGAAAGTCTCAGTCGTCGTCAAACATTCCCGGTCCCCTGAGGATGAACCCGGCTGACTCTGATCCTCTGATCTCCCTCCAGCGCCTCCATGAGGTGTCTGTTCAGGCGGACGTATTAATGTGTATTTCCTCCATCACTTACGTTTCTTCTGTGAGATTTATGTCCTTCAAACATGATTCAGAAAGAGGAAAAACGTTTTATTCAGGAGATTGTTGAGCTTTGAGGGACATTCATTCGTCCCCTGGGAACCGTCCTCATTAAAAACCCCCTCCTCCTCCACGCAGTCTGGGGGGGGGGGGCAACAATGGAGGGTTAATCAGGGCCGCTCTGCTCGTCCTCCCTCAATGGACGAGCCGCTTGGCGGCGGTCCAACCGTCTCATGGTCCTCAGCGGGGACACTGGGGCCCATTATGGGCTCTGGGGACAGAGGGTCCCTTGTGCTGGAAAAGACACAGTGGGACAATAAAAAAAAGTGTTTTTTTACAGATTGAAAAAGGTAATTGAATAACAAAACATTCCAAACTAATAGCGGGTGACACAAAGTCTGCACGGCCGCCAGTGTTCACAGTGGAAAGGAGGGTTATCGCTGCGCGTCGGGACGAATGACACCCAACTGAACATTATTGGACGATAAAGTACTTTATTGCTTCAGTAAAAACCACGTTAACCAGCTGCATAAGTGGAAGATGAGACTACTGGTGACATCCAGAGGAGATTCTTTATGCGGTCGTACGTGTTGTGCGACCGCATAAAGAATCTCCTCCTGATCATTGAAACCAAAACAACATCTGTTCTCGTAATGTGGACGATAATCGGCAGACGTGTGAATCTGCAGACAGGAAGTGCGTGTCTTTGTCTCCGTGTGTGTGTGTGTGTGTGTCTACGTGTGTGCAGAGGACGTTTCTCTGAGGTTTTTGTTGCAGTTTCAGCAGCTCAGAAAACGAGTCCTTGTTTTTCGGCACAAACCAACAGGAGGAGAAGACTTGAGGTTAAATATTGCTGACGAGGCGGTTTTGAGAAGGATGAAGGATCCCCTCACGTTTCTCTGCATGCTTTGCTCAGCTGGTTCCATGAAGCACTGACTTGGTGTGTTGCCATTCCAAATGTTAAAGAGTGACCTCACCGCACATGGAGGAGCTGCAGGGGAAGGAACGCCTCCGTCAGTATCTAATCTGCAGGTGGTGTAAAAGCGGAGCGTGTTCTCTCAGATAGCAGAGCTGCTATCTGCTCCGCGTCTGCAGAGGTGACTCTCAGAGTCAAAGTGAAGGTGACATCATCCTCTGAAGGAAACGACATCAGGACTCATCAGATTTCTCATGTTTAAAATCAACTGTCGGTGAGACGATTTCCCTACAAGTGTGTTTGATGTTCTCCAGTGAAGGTGAATGAAGATCAGAATGCTGACATGTTGATAATAAACTTGCGTGCAGCACAAAGTTACAAGGTGCCTGAAAATAAACAATGAGAAAAAACTAAGAAAATAAATCAAACGGAATAAAGTAACAAAAGAGTGAAATAAAGAAATCCATATTAAATTCCTCTAACCGTTAGTTCATGATCATAAAAAGAACATGCAAACTGGCCACAGCTTCGTAACGGGCTCTGATTGGCTGCTGGTGACGTCACATGTTGAGAGCTTGTCATTGAGTTGAGAGTCATAAAAGGTGATCTGAGACGTGAGCGTTGGCTCGGGGGTTAATCAGGACGCACACTGACTCACAGTTCGACCTTGTGATAAGAAAACAGGCCGACGGCACTTTGAAAGGGTTACAGACCGAGAATAACCGAGATACAGAACTAATAAGAACACATTAAACAAGTGACTGACCCGGAAAAAAAACAAAACGCCAGGTAAACTACCTCGTAATGTCAAGTAGAATATCAGGGGTTGGGCTTTTAAATAAGTTTGTTTGAATACAAATAAGTCACCGCTGACTCTGGATTCCACGAAGGACGCGAGCAGCGGTTTCCTGTGTTTGTTTCACTCAACCATCCAAACCAGATGCTCAAACCACCTGGACGAGGACAGAGGTCACAACGCGTTCAGGCTCTCTGCTCGGACACGAGGGACAACCAGATGATGCTGAACCACGAGTTGAGACGCCAGACGTACATTCCCCTCCGAGTACGTGCAGCGCGCGCATGAGTCACGGCGTCATGGGACGCATCGACGAGCATCCAGAGCATCGACGAGCATCCAGAGCATCGACCAGCATCCAGAGCATCGACGAGCATCCAGAGCATCGACCAGCATCCAGAGCATCGACGAGCATCCAGAGCATCGACCAGCATCCAGAGCATTGATGAGCATCCAGAGCAACGACCAGCATCCAAAAGCATTGACGAGCATCCAGAGCATCGACCAGCATCCTGAGCTTCCTGAGCATCGACCAGCATCCAGAGCATCGACCAGCATCCAGAGCATTGATGAGCATCCAGAACATCGACCAGCATCCAGAGCATCGACCAGCATCCAGAGCATCGACCAGCATCCAGAGCATCCTGAGCTTTGTGCTTTTCTCAGGAAATGGGAAACGTGAGGAGAGACACAGCTGACATCTGGCTACCAATACAAACTCAAGAAGTAACAATTTACAGACGATTTCTACAAATGTTCTAATTGTGCCTTTAAGTTCAGATCGTCCATTGTTCTGAACTGGCCTTTATTAAACATGTTATTGTGATTATTATACTTTAAAAAGGTTCCATGTAAATCCTTTGAGGTTGTAAAGACTGATCAATGAACCTTCTGCTTCCCTCTTATTGTATCTGATCAGTGTGTGAAGCTTGATGTAATTTCGATTCCCAGCAGCAGATTGAATCCAAATATGAACAACAAGCTGATGAAGATGCTTCTCTTCCTACAGATACAAAGTCATTCACATTGAAACAGTGCACTTAAAGAGAGAGAATCCACAAAGCAAAGACTCGCTACCAAGTGTGCAAACACTAACAATGGACCACCAGGAGCTGTCGGGATGTTTCAGTCTGGATGAAGGTGAAGCAACAGCTTCCTGTTGTGTTTTATGTGCAGCCTTTGCATCTCATTGTGTGATTTGCGTGAGCCGGGCGGAGAAGGTGGGGCACATTCCTGCTGCACAGTGTGCGCGCGCTCAGTTGTGTGCACTCGTGAAGTCGCAGGTTGAACTTTGGTCAAACATCCCGGAAGCAGCAGGCGGCCACGTACACAATCCTCCAGTCCGGAAGAACGGAGAACTAATGATGATGATTTAAAAGCCAAAAGTCCCACAGCGAGTTTCCAGCGTAGTGATGAGTCTACCATTTCTACCCTGCTTTTAGCTCCGTCTTTGGTCTCCTCCCCCCTTTTTTAACCAGCAGAAATACAGGAAGTGCCCCTAAAAACGAGCTTCTGACAACCTTTTCTTGACCCTGACATTCTACGTCCGCCCCCCAGTCGCTATTGTAGAGTTTCCTCCATTAACATCCGTCACCTGACCTTTCTCCCCCGCACACCCGCCCTCAATTACCACATTACCCCGTTAGCACCAATCAGAAATGTTTGTGCACAAAGAAGGAAACCAGAGGGAATATACAGATACGTGTCTTTATTATTATTATTTATTCTGTTTTCAGTATAAAGACTTTTACACAGCTTTATACTTATTATTTAAGGTGCAGATAGGAGCTGTAAACATAGATTTTATTGTTTCTTTTTCAGGGTGGCTGATTCATTTTCCTTGGTTGTCTGAAAAGAGGAAGTTCTTTGCAGCTCTGTCTTGTTCCACTTCCTCATTCTGCAGACGGCGTTCCACCTTTGCACCCATTTTAGGAATAGACCCGCTTCAGACTTCCTGTGCACACTCAGCTCAGCGCGGGTGCAGTTAGTTGAGGCTCATTTTCCATTTCCCCTCTTGTCGCTCTGCCCTGTAGGGGGGGGGGCGGCAACACTCCCGATTTTAACTTGTCCTAAAATCCCAAACACAGCACAGACACAAACACAGGATCAAGGTGAGGGAGACGTGATGATCGACTGCCCCCTGCAGCTCGGATGGAGGTGAGCCAGCCCCCCCCTCCACCACCATCGCTGCAAACGCCTCTTTACATCAGACTGCAGGGTTTTGAATAAAACATGACGTTCACGATCTGGTCGAGCTGTTCTCCTGCAGAGCAGCGAGGACTCAAGGAGCGGCGCTTTACACCATCACGCTATCGGGTCAACGCCCTCATGGGCCCTCTGCCTCCGTCCTCGGGTGGGGTGATGTGTGTACTTTGTGGGAGTGGAGACACACAATAATAATACATGTCACAGGGCAGTGGAGTGAGGGGTGAGTCCTGCTGTTGCCGTGGAAACCGGCCAAATGTGGCCACAAAGGACACGAAACCAGAGTGTCCCCGCGTCTCACAGAGACATCAGTATTATCAGGATGAAGGCTGTATGAGTCGTAGAAAGGAGACATTAGATCATGGATTTAAATGTTTGAGTTATTCATATTCAGGGTTACGCCAGCAGATGATCCTCACTGTGATCTGGTTGATAACTCAACCAAAGATAGAATTAGTATTTATCTCTGAACTACAATCCTTTCTAAAGCAGGTAGAGACTGTGGACGGAATGAGGTTATGTAAAGTCTTAACTGGAGCGTAATGTCCTCTATCCAAATGTCTCGTGTCCTCATGCCGTCAGGTCACACACACCGAAAACACAGACGCTATGTTACCGACAGGGTTGCCGGTTTGAATCCCTCTTCTGGGTGGAGGTCAAAAAAACAAACGTACTGGTCCAGAGACATTTTAATTATATTCATGTTATTTATATTTTACATAAATCTGCCAAATACTTCACGATAGAATGCTAATGAATAAATCTAAACAGAAATCTATTTCTAGTTCTGGCATATTATCGCTATGGTAACCGATCACTCAATGAGAACAACGTCTCGTCAACGTCGAACCGCTCGCAATCGATTCCCTGACGGGGGCCAAGCAGGTCAGACACATTTCATCTGAACCCCCTCCGGCCCCCCCGGCCCCCTCAGTCCAGCAGCTCGACGCTGATCGATGCCGTGAGAGGGCCTATGGGAACGTTACATAACCCTCTTCCTCCTCCTCTTCCTCTTCCTCCTCCTCCTCATCTGTTTGTGCTGCACAGCCGACCGCTCGAGCTGCACCACCGCCCCCCCCCCCCCCTTATTTTATGTGTCCACGCCGGCTTTATTCACATATACTGTTTTCAACCCTTCGGCTGTGCAGCACATTCGTGCATCTCGTATTGGAAGTTGTCTGAAATGGTTTTTGAAGGTTCCATTGATGTATAAACACCTGGATGTGTATTTTAGATGTTAGAAGACGAAGTTCTTGAGTGAGTGAAAATGTTTTTGAATGTTTTCTGCTTGGTCAACAAAACAAAAAGACAACACTCCTCTACTTTGTACGTTTACATCATATATTTATAAAACCGGGCCTAAGTGCACTGGTGGAAGATATATTTATTTACTTGAAAGGCATTAAACGCGAGCAGGAAACACTCCACTGAAAGTAAACACCCTGCATTCATTACGTTACGTAAAATGAGCCAAATGTACTTGTAGTAAAAGTATTAATAGTGCAGTAAATTGTTCCCTGTGTCCCAGTGTTTCTGGACTAATATAAAGCTGCATGGATGTTGCATTTAAACTAATTGAATGTTTAATCTTTATGAATGCATCATATTCCATGTTTGCACATCTAAAAAGAGCAACGCCTGTTTCCAGCTCGATGACTTCCAGCGGACAGGAAGCTGATGAAAAGTGCAGAAGGTCCATTAAAGATCTATTAAAGGCCCATGTCATCCTTCATGGTGCTGCCGTTGCCATGGTGACGCGTGCTGCAGAGTTTAAATGGCCTCCATGTTGCACATTATGTAATCGGCTCGCAGAGAGATACCACTGTCTGCTCCATCCACGCCGCGTGCGTGTGAGTGCAGCCTCCTCTTCCTCCTCTTCCTCCTCCTCCTCCTCCTAAAAGGAGCGAGCCGAGCACCTCGCGCCCTCTGGTGGCCACACGTGGAACAGGCAGGTGCCACGTGACGCTAAATCTTTTTTTTATCATCTTTTTTGTTCTTCTGTTTTCTAGTATTTTATTCTCATGTTACTTTCTACGTCCTTTCAACCTCAGAGTGAAATGTGTATTTATTTGATTCCTCTCCAATAATCTGATGGATTTAGTCACTTTTTTGTACTTTTATTTGAGAGAATTCCTTAAATTGTTCTCTTCCTGCTGATTTTAAATCCCTTTATATATTTATTTGAGATCTTTATACAATATTTGTGTTTATTTCAATATTATGTTGCGTATCTCACTATTACTTTAGATTTTTTACAGCTAAAATGACAAGATGGAAAATGATTTTAAAACTATTTTGATTCATTTTTCCAGCTTGCCAATTGAGAAAATAGTCGTCACTTTACATAAAATACTTTGACGTTAAGGAGTCAAACTTAAGATATCTGTCCGGTGTTTTTGTATAAACTGCAACATCGTTTTGCTTCGGAAAGAAGTGCATATTTGCATTTTCTCATTCAGAAAAACTAATTCTCACTGCAAATACATGAATATTGCAACACTTTCATCAGTGTTTAAGTGATGAACCGGCTGCAGACCTTGTCTGTAGAATGGAAATGGTCCAGATCTTTAAACCTATGAGCGCTTTGGGATTGAATGCTTGATTTAATTGACTGAAACCCCTCAGACCGCCATTAAAAGGCCCTGAATGCTCCTCCTCTTCCTCCTCCTCCTCTGAGGGGGAGCTGGTGGTGCGTGAAGACGACTTCCATCCGGCTGAGCTGCTGCTTGTTTTTTCTTAAAATAACCTAGAGTGGTTTTTTTTAGCTTCTTTTCAAAGAAAGTTTTAGTTTTCTCTGGAGAGCAGCCAGGAATACATCAACTAAAATAAAATAAGACCCCGCAACACCAAACACTGTTCAAGACACGCCGTCTTTATTTAGTAGTGGGAATACAAATTCAATACACAACCATCCATGGAGCATTCACACAAACTTTTTTTTTTAGTGTGCTTTTTAAATTTTCTTCGTTGAAGCGCTTCACAATCGATGCAGTTAAAGGCGACTTAAGAAAATGTATTTGGAAAATCAACCAATTGCAATCCCCCCTTTTCCCCGACGCAGAACACGTTTTCCTGTCGTTGGCAGAAAGAAAAGCGAAGCAGCAACAAACATGAAGACGCGCGCGAGTAAAATAACTATTAGCTACGGTTCGCTAACGGAAGATCGATTTCTTTTTTGGAGGATTTCTACTTTTTCGAGTCCTCATTTCTTCGTGTTTCACCACGTTTAATCCACCGCTGCTGGATCGAGCGCCACGTTGCACCAGCTAGAGGCGGGAATTCTGAAACGCAGCCGAGGAATCTCTACGACTCTACGACCGCTCGGGTTGAATTAAAACGCGACAGTTCGATATTTCGGAAAGAATGCGTGTTCGCTTTTCTCGCCGGCTGTTCGCTGAGAAGATGGACGCCTCTCTCGGGGCGTCTGCGTGATCAAATACGCTACCGTTAGCAGCCAGCTAACTTAGCTTAGCATAAAGATATATAAAAAGCAAATAGAGGGAAAATTTGGAAATATGGAGGTTTGGCATTAATTCAGTGGTGAAAGAAGTTTTCAAGCCAGTTGTTTAAGTAAAAGTACCAATATGAGTGTAGAAATACTGCATTACAAATCAAAGTACAGATTATTAGCAACAATGACATGTAATGTAATGTAACAAAAAACTCTGTATAAACTCTAAATAATGTGGATTATCCAGTGTACTACTGTCATTTTAAATAATGTATTAATATTAAACTGATGACGTACAATCAAACCTCAGCTGGTGCAACCGGCTGCTGACCTTTGACCTGCAGCTTAACAAGCTCAAAGGTGTTCGTCTTTGGGTGGAGTAAGCCGAACTTGCTCCTGAGCCTCCACCTTCCTCATTTCTAAGCTCTCTGGAATCAACTTTGGTGCGATGAACAAAAACGAAACATTCTCCGAAGACTACATTCAAATAAAATGTCAAAACCTGCACTCTGTTTCTTGTGAACGCATCGAGAAGGACTGATGGAGGTCACCCCCCTCCCCACCTGCCCCCCCCACCCCCCGGGTCCCACTAATGGACTGCAGGTTCAGATACTCAGAGCTGTGTGTGTGTGAGAGGGAATACAAGACGTCCGGGTGGAGAAGACAGAGTTCTTCTATTTTAGGATTGGAGATTTATTAAATGCCACTCTCAGAAAAAGGGGGCGTCGCTCAGACTTGTGGATTCCTCCGCCGCTGAAAATAGTCCCCAGAAATACGCTGTTTCCTCTCATTTCAACTTCTCCTTCATCACACTACTGACAAACCTTCATGCAGCGGTTAATACCTTTTATCAGACCGCAGAAACCCAGAAAGCCTCACGCTGTGGACAGTTCTCATTAATCCAGATGTGTAAAGGAACCCGGGGGCCACATACACTCGTCTCGCAGACAAAGACCTCCTCGGGCTTAACATTTAGAAGATGGTGCTTCCAGCTGTGTAGTCTTTAATATACAGAAAGGCTCTTTTGACAATACATACATTCCTGGACTGTATTGTTAATTGTTGCATTATTGTGTTCACCTCTTTAAAGGTGGAGCCGGTTTTAACTGCTTTACATTCTGCCGGGTTCTTTAATCTGTAAAGATACTTCATTTATTACTTGTTTGCATCGTATCACATGGTTTTCATCTGCAGTTGAAATGTCTTATTCCTTCTGAGTAGCTTAAGAATTGAGGTTCAAAGTTAATTTTTAACAGACGTTGACAAAAACAAACTTACCAGGTCAGTGAAATAAATAATTTCACTAAATATAAATACCAGATAGATAACTGGGCTCGTTGGACGAAGAGAACTGAACAGAAAGGGCAGATTTCACAATGTTAAAAGAAACCGTCCTCCTTACAGGCGTCTTTCACCTTTTTAATCTGGTAGTGAAAACTTCTCTCCGTCTTATTTCAGGTTTAAATGGAAGGGTGAAAAAAAAGGCACAGAGAATTTGGACTCCCTCTTCTCCCTCTTCTCCCTCTTCTCCCTCTTCTCCCTCCCCCCTCCTCCTCCTCCTCGACCTTAGAGAAGTTTCTAGAAGGCTGTCGACTGCGATCACGATCAACACATCGACCCCCCCACCAGGACACGACTGCCGGGCCTGTGGGCTTCAGCCTCGATGTGTCAATCAGGAGGATATCGCCGCCTTCCTCTTCCTCCCCCCAGTCCCACTTCTCCTCTCGGTACAAAGTGTGTGCAGGAACTAAAAGCAGCAGCAGTCCTCTTCTTCGATGGCTGAATTAAAAAAAACAAACAGCAGCCCCCACGTCTCCTCCAGCGTCCTCTCGTCTCCTCGGCGGTCAGCTGATTTATGGGCCCGGAGACACGGGTCCTCTGACCTCACGCACTCAGCTCCGCCTCCTCCTCTTCCACGTCGCTTCTAAAACAGAAACGGTTTGATTCCTGCACGAAACGGCACGAAAAATTTAAGTAAACAGGCGGTTCACCAACCGCGCGGCGGTTGCCAGGGGCGACCGACCCTTTCCCTAATTAGGCCGCTGTATTTAACACAGCCGTGAGCCTCCATGAGAATCAGGCCCGACGCGACGCCCACAGCCGAGCGATCCGTCGCCCTGCATCGATACCCAGAGCGGTCTGAGGACAGGACCACCAGCCGGGCCACACACACACACACACACACAATGACAGACAACACATCGCACACAATGACAGACGACACATCGCACACACATCTGGGAGATTATGGAACAAAATCTTCAATTGTTGTTCCACAAAAGGAGTTCTCCTTGTTCTTCTCAGAACATCTACCACAAAAAAGGGATGAAAGGAAAGCGCCGCCGCAGTGCATTCTGGGGATTGGAGTCCATATGTACAGCCCGTGGAATGATAGCATACCAGTTAGAGTTTAGTTTGTCTTTTATATACAGATTATTGGCTCCTCCTCCCTGTTTATCAGTACTCCCACTCGTCCGTCTTCATGTCCAGGTAGTTGAGAATGTTCTGGGCGAACTTCACCGCCTGCTTCCGCGCCATCTTGGTGGTGTCGTCGCCCTGCGGGTCCACGGCGTCCAGCGCCAGCAGCTGCTTGGTCAGCAGCTCCTCCAGCAGGATGTAGCTCTTGTCGACCCGCTTGCCGTCGAAGCCCAGCGCCTGGGCCTGGAGGTCCGAGAGGCTCCCCAGGACCAGCCACACCGCCCGGTGCGCCGGGTGCTCGCCGGGGCCCGGCTGGCGGCGAGCCAGGGCCTCGCGGAGGTCCAGGAAGGTGATGATGGCCTGGACCTCCACCACGGCGCGGCGGCGGGCCTCGCGGATGCACGGGTTCTTGGCCGTGTCCACTTGGTCCAGGTGGGTGAGGAGGCCCTGCAGCTCGGCTTTGGGCCTGAAGCTCAGGTCGCCCATCACGCAGTGCCGCAGGACGCCGTCCCGCAGGTGGGAGACGTGAGCTCGCACCGCCTCGATCTCCCGGATGGAGTTATTCTGACCCAGGTCGTACCTGAAGACACAAAAAACACTGAACGAGTGCGAAAAACAACTCAACGATGGAATCACAAAGTATTCGTAGAGTCAGAGTCAATGATTCAAACCCTCCGCAGTGATGTGGATACTTGCTGATATCAATATGAAGAATTAGAAATAAGAAACCGAAAATAACTCGTTTGTTAGTTTGGTTTTATGGCGCCGCTCAGCTCTAACTCCCCACCAAAATAAAAGCACAAGTCAAGAAGCATGGTTATGAATCTATGGGATTGCTACTCTTTCATTTCATACTTCACCAAACAACCTTCTTTTACCACAATTCAATCCGAGCGGCACAAAGACAAACGTGTGAATGAAGTGGTGCTTGTACATGAGCGAGCAGTAGGTGTGTTGCTGCTATGAGAGCGTTATTTACTCTGGACGGTGCAGCGAGATTCAAATCAGAATTCAACAATCCCCCCTCCCTCTTCCTCCCCCCCAGCTACGGGGGACGCATCATCAGCTCGAGTGCACTGCAGCGAGCGCAGCGTCACACTTTAAAGAAATAGAGCGTGTCTGTTTAGTTGTATATCTTCTAATCCAACATTCACATTTAGGCCCCTCCCCCCCCCGGCCCCCCCTCTGACCTAAGTAACTTTCTTTGTGGATAACAATGACCTTTCTTTCCTAATACTATATAAAAAAAAAGTATATTCCCCGCGCACTTGTTACTGGAGAATACGATTTCGGGGGCGGCCGCTACTTTTCTGGTGTGGTTGGTGCCGCGGCAACCCCTCAGTAGGCAGGGAGAGGGAGAACGAGACTGGTGATGTCTCATCACCCTCTTGAGCTGCAGGAGCCCCAGGCAGCAACAACCTTGAATTATAACGCACACCTAGATAAAAATAAGAAAAGAAAATCCCCCTTCTCTGCCGCGGCAGCCTTTCACTCAACGGCGGGACGGGTCTGGCCACAGAGAGCGACCGGCTGTGTGGATATATACGAGTGCGCTTATTCCCCACGGATGGTGAAGAGCACACCGCCTTCTATAAAAGCGCCTTAGTGTGAAAAGACACACAGCTTGAGAGAGCGCACGGTCGGGCTACAGCATCGAAATATTGCCTAGCTACTATTACTCTCAGCGGAGGGAACGAAGCTTCCCGCCGAAACGGAGCCTGAGAGGACGACCTATATGCACGTACGTTGTACGGAGGAGGGCGAATAAGAAAGTGCATGAAAGTACAGTCGAGCATGTCTTCGCTCGTTGGCATGTGCTAGAACGTTCATCGTTTGATACGCATGCTCAAGGAAAGTAACGATTCGAACCAAACGCGACTAGTTCCAATCCCGAGGT